AACTAAATCATTATTACCTAAAAAAATCTACATGTTAACCTTATCTTTCTATTCTACGTGTCCCCTTTTGACATGCCATGTGTTTATTGTTTCTACCATGTATTTGTAATACATTGTATGTAATATTTATTTATTTTTCTTTTTACTTTTAATAACTAACAACAAAACAATGGTTTTAAGTATTACGTATTAGTTAAATTTTAGTATGTTATCATACAAGTCTGTAGATTGTACATGTTCATAAATATTAATAATATATAGAGATAAAGTAAATCAATACTTATATAGTTATACATAATATGTTATAAAATTAACTATATTTGTTATTCATATTTTATAATCAATTATTTAATATTTCATTAATAATGAATATATAAATAAATAATATATTATAGTGTATGAATTTATTTATTTTTATAGGCAAATAATGTTAACTATAGATATATTTATTTATTATTATTATTGTTATTATTATCTTTTATTTAAATATTACACGGGTCGGCCCGAGCCGTGCCCGTTTTGTCGGCCATAGTGACCTTCCAATTGAAACTTCTTGCATTCTGCATGTGTTAGAATGGAAAAAATATAAATGATATTTTTGAACCATTTTTTTACGCACCCACAGGCCTCAGATAAAATATCTCACCAGTTATCTGCATTGTTGTAAATTATTGGTAGTACCTGTAGAACCAAAAATTTCAAATCCAAGGTTACTTTGCTCTTGATCTTCAACACACATGAAAAACATGCAATAAACGTACTTGTCTTCATTGTGGCCCTTCATTACTACAGTTTTAAAATTTTTAAGAGCCAAGGTTTCCGTCTTAAAACTGGAATTTTCTCTGAAATGTTGTACCATTCCTTCACGATACAAAATTCCAGGGTTGCCACTCTCCTTGCAATGTTTCAAAAATAATAATTTGGGTCTTTCTTAAACCTTTTCAGAATATGAACAGTAGAATATCCAGATATTGATATCTGGATATTGCGACAAAAGCGAACCTATTTTAGTAAAAATTCGACATCTAGAGTTACAAAGCTTCAAATTGAGTGAGATTTAGACCTATGTGAAGCTAACATATAGGGATATACCCTGTAAAATTTCATAGCCATTGGATAAGTGGATTGGTGGCAGTTTGAGTTTGAAGTCGAGACTTGGTTGTTGGAAATTCAGTTTGCAGCAGTCACTTTGCGAAAGACATAACCAGAGTTATACAACTCCAATTGAGACATATAATATGTCGCTGGAAAGCTTGAGATGTCTAGTTTAACATAGTAAAATATAAGAATTTTTTGTAAAGAGTTGAAATTCAAATTTTAAAAATAGTAAAGAAGGGTTGAGATCACGTTCGCATATAGAGTTGGTTCCTTTGGATTGTTCTTCAAGGAAACGACTTGTAAACTCTATTGTGTTAGTGAGTGATGTTCTAAGATGTATAGGACCCTAGGGAGTTGACATAATTCCTCCCACCTTGAGTTGGTATCCCCATGTAAAGAATGACTATGTAAAAAATATTATTGAAACAAGCGTCGTAAACTAGTATATTTGCTAATTGTCGTTAAATCTTTGAAAGAGATTGTGATTTTGTGAGAGCTTATGATTATGGTCCTTAGGATACTGAGTGTACATTGGAGTATGTTGCTGATAAAGGTAAGCTTTTGGTCCTTGGTTTAATCCATTGTTTGTTCCACCAAACTCCTTGGGAGGTTAGTTTATTTGTATGATTTGTTTTTGAAAATAATATCTGTTTACATTATGAATATTTGATATATTATTGAGCTGAAATATGTTATTATGCATTTCCATATGTATATGTATGTGGGGTATTCTACATAAGATGGTAATCCTTGAGTATGGTAGGCTACATTCAAGATGGTAAACCCGTATGTGAGGTACGAGGTGGACTTCTTGTACTGTAGATTGCAGACGTACGTAATGCCTATTTTTTATTCTCTGGCCAGTAGGATGCATACACACATACCATGGACATATGCTTCATTATACACTGTTATATAATGCTCATACTATTTTTATACTTATATTATACCTGTAAGTGAACATGGCGCGGAGGAATCCTTGAGGACATCTGGTTTACTGAGATTTGTCAAAATCTCACCCCGTTTGCGAAACATTTTTCAAGTACTGAGATTATTGATATTGATGCATCTTAAGGCAAGAGGCCGGTGTAGAGATTCTAGCATGACATGAGACATGCATTGCTAGCATTGTTGTTTATATACTACCATGAGATATGATTACCTTTTTTTATGCTATGTGTTGTTTGTATTTGGGACGAACATAGGGATTGTCTATGCCTTCTTGAAGAAGCTTGTTTATTTTTGTTAGGGAACATGTATAAATTTACATTATTGAGTATTTGTAGTTTTTAATATGATGTGTATGTAGGATGACCTAAGTAACAGATTGCTGGTGCTAAGATGTATGCATGTATCACTTAATCAAATCCTTTTAGATATGATGATTTAGGAGCCAAGGAAGGTACTAGATAATTTAATTAAACCACATATATAGTTGACACTTATTGTATGTCTTAGGTAAGGACAACTAAGTACAAGATGAAATGATATGGGGCAATGAGTTTAATTTTAAACCCTCATCCCAAAGAGAGATATTTCATTTTGCCATTGTCATGGAATATCCAGATATTGGGGATTTAACATCCGGATATCAGGTATTCACATATGTCATATCCGGATATATCTCCGACATATATGCGGATATTATGGGCAAACAGATGCAAAAACAAATGTTTAAAAGGGAATGCTTGTAGACCTAATGTAATTTAAATATGGAAGGCTTAAATCCATATCTACATAGAGTGTGATGCCTTAATAATTGTAAAGGAAGATGAGAGTAGCCTAATGCTTTGTTTGGGAGTCGGTTTTAGGAGGGGAAATAAAGAAAATGGAGGATTTTAGAAAGCCTTTCCCTTGTTTGTGAGTTTAAAAAAAATGAGGGAAAGGAATTGAGGATTTTTACTAAACCCTCCAAAACCCTCCTTCTTTTTAAAATTAAAGTTCCCCCAGTTTGGGGGGTTTGAAGGAGAAAATATTAAAAATCACTCATATACCCTTAGCATTAAAATGGAAAACTACGTAAATGTGAATCATTTTTAAATGTGACATTATTAGAAAAGTCTCAAATACCCGATAGAATTATCGACGAAAAATATTTCGTCAAAAATAGTGATGAAATTTTTGATGAAAATCATATACGTCAAAAAATTTCGTCGCTTTTTAACGAAAAATATTCTAATGAAAAAATAATTTTGGGATGAAATTTTCGTCGTTTACAACGTAGAAATTTCGTCGAAAATATGATCATTTTTAGTATTGTGAAAAGTACATAAATAATTTTGTTAGAATTTTTAAATTTAATTTGTAAAATATAATAATTATATTTGTTTTAAAAATGGGACAAAATGATAAAAATATCTCATTAACCCTCTATTTTCTTCCCTTACCATTTTTTGAACTCCCAAACAAAGGAAGGTGATACCCTCTAATTTCCCCCTTCCTTTTCCTCCCTCCTCCTTGAATCCGACCTTCCTTCACCTCTCTCCTCCTTTCTTTCCCTTCCAAACTCCCAAACAAAGCCTAAATAAATAATTTAGATATGTTGGATGTCTTAGTGTGTGTAATTGTTGAGACGTTACGTTGAAGAGCGTTTCTCTCAAAGTACATAGTTCAAGTAGTGTGTAATTAAGAATGAAGGTAATTAGTAAATGAGATAATTGTGGAACAAGTAATATAGAATGAAACTAATTCGACATGCAAGTAACTATTATAAATTGATATAGAATGGAAAATTTTTTGTCACGTGCTTACACGAGATTAATTATGAATTAAAAATAAGTAACTTCCACATTTATATGATTAATTAGCTGCGCTTAATACTATTCTGATGATAATACATGGAGTGCACATTGGTTGTTACAGGTTATGTTTTTTATTTAGTTCCCATTAAAGGTATATACTATTATTGTTTTATTAATTTATTATTACTATTGTTAGTAATTGGTTAAGTGTGAAAAAAATTGATTCATAGGGTTTAAAATAGACACTGATATTTTTATCCTCCCGTGACTTCTTTCTTCTAGTAATAAAGAAGATAAAGATGAGTCAAGCCTGTATCATGAGCCCAACTTGAGAAAGAAAACTTCAGCTATTTGTGACTTATTTGATTTCCTTTTTTCATTTAGTTTTCGTTTTTTGTTTAACTTTCGTTTTTCATTTAGTTTACGTTTTTCAATTAGTTTACATTTTTATTTAGTTGTTGTTTTTCATTTAGTTTCTGTTTTCATTTTGTTTATGTTTTTTCATTTAGTTCCTATTACGGGTATATACTATTATTATTTTTATTAATTTATTATTAATATTGCTATTAACCGGTTAAGTGTGAAAAAAATTGATTCATGGTATTATTCATTTTTTGTTTGTTTTTGGTAATCTTATTATTCATATTTTTATTCTCTAGTAGCTTCTCTCTTCTAGTAATAATTAATGGCTTTTCTCTTCTAGTAATAATGATATAATAGATAAATTATTGTTTGATGAATATAATTAATAATAAAAAACTACTTTTATTTTTTCATTAAATGTACATTCAACATTTTTTTATTTAAATTGACTTTTGCTATTCTCTCTCTCTTAACGCTTCTTAGTTTTTTCTAAACAAATATTTTTCAAATAAATTATTACAAAATATGTGCAAAAATTAATCACTGGACCAATTTGTTTAATAAATACACCAAAATTTTCATTTCAATGTTAGGTTAGCTAGCTCTTAAGGAATAAATGCTCGGTGCCGTCGTGTATCGGTTTTGCGTCGTCTCACTTCAAATAGACCACTTAAAGCATTGAAACATCTAACCCTGGTTTTCCGTTGTCTAAAACCCTTCGTTTTCCCGCCATATCTCTCAACGCCCAAAACCCTAGCTTCAAGATTACACTGTGAAACCTGTGCTGCTTCCATTATTTGGATTAGATGTATAGCCATTGAGTGCGTAACGATCATGGAGACGGTCACTTCCAGAGACGTTCAAGAGATTGTAGACAAACTCTCATCCGACAAAGCTAGAGCTCGCGATGTAACCTTCATTCTCCCTTCACCAACTAACTATTTTGCTTCCTTTGGTCGCCAACAATTTGAACCACAGTAGTATTATAAATAGAGAGATAATCGAATTAAATAGTGATTTGTCTTTTTTTCCCCCTTTTCTCTTTCATGTTCTACTACCAAAGAAATTCGAATTTTCTGGATCAAGAATCTTAAAAGCTACTTATTTATAAGGTTTACTGAAGTGATGTTTCGATCCCAATTGCTGAAATTAGTGAATTTAAGAATAAAATTTAGGCAGTTTGCCGAACAGATGCTATTGTACATTCATTTCTTCGTTTTACTATATGATGCTCTGTTATAGTTGAGCCACATGATCTTGATTCATTTTTGGGATTTACTTTTTTATGTGCATCCTCTGAGGATCGTGTATTCGATTCTAATTAGCTGTTATTGTGGTGTACTGATCCAGGAAGGGATCAAGTTATTAAGTACATGGTTAGAAAGATCAAAGAACTTCATCAAATTTATTGGACAGAACACTGCAAAGCTTAGACCGGATGAAGTTGCTCACTGTAAGATTATTATTATTTTCAATAAATAAAACTTACATGCATCGGTGGATGCAATACTTATAAGATTACCCAAGCCAAGGTGTAATTTTTACTTATGATTTATTTGTTTATTTTAAATTTTTGTTGGGGCAGCTGAAACATGGCCTTTTCTTGTTTCTTTACTTATTCAATGTGCGTCGTTGGAATCCTCGAGGAAAGATCCAAACGTGATATATGCAAAGACTCTTAGAGTTGTTGTGCAACGAGCGGAAGATGCTAAATATTCAGGTTAGTTGGAGGTGGTTTAGTTCTAAACGTGCTTATATTTTTCTGCCCTTTTAATTAGAAACAAGTAATAAAATAAGAAGTTAAATCCTAAAATTAAGTGCTCCCAAAAGATGGGTAACAATCTGCGAGAAGAAAAATAAATGATTATTAGACTCCAAATGTATCCGCAACTGTAAGACATAGGTCTTGGTAAAGAATGAGATCTTGAACATTTTGTTCCTTACCAATGAGCTAATATACTCAAGTTGTAATACCCTTTTGAGTTTTTATTTTATTTTATTATGTTCTGGAAAGATTTGATACTGGCCTCTGGTGTTATTTTAGACACAAAGGAAAGAGAATTCGAAGTCCCCGAAACCTCTATGTCAACTTATAAAGATTTGACAGATGATTTGTTGCATTTTCTCTTGTTATCTTATAACATGTTAACGATCATTTTTAAGGCTGTTGGAGTTGTTAAAGGATCATCATGGATGTGTTTATTGATTCATTTGAATATTGTTGTTATTTTAAGATTTTGATTGTCTTCTTGTTACTGGAGTGATTGCTGATGTGAGTGCTTAGAAGTTAATTTATTTTTAGTTTGCTCTCTTTTAATGATGGTTCTAGTATTTGCTTTTGGTATGATTTGTGATGTTTTTGTATTGTGAAAGCCCCTTTTTCCATTATCCTTGTTTCTCAGCATTGCACTGGTTCCCATGTTTCTATGCTCTGGAGGAATTGTATATTTTCTGGAATTTCACTCTACAGGCACTCAAATGATGGGGGGAGCTTATGATTTACTATTTCTCCTTGCTCACTTTATAATGCCAATCTTTCTAGGGACTTTAAGCGAGGAACTTTCCACCTTATTTTTGATGCCCTTCCCTGAAAATCTTCTGTTTTAAATTATCATCCAACCTCCAATAGTATTAGTTCCGCACTGCTAATTCTGTATGACTTGCTGAGACACTTCCATTGTAGAGATGGATCACATGTTAAGAGCTTGCACCATGTAATTAACAGTTTAATTCAAATAATAACTAGTTAAGTTAATTATTATGTGGTTAAATAATACAATGAATTTTTAACTCAACTGATGAAAGCTAGTTTCAATGTGGTTAATAAGAAATCAAAATAAAATTAGATGTATTTAAATATATCAATACTATTGAAAAGATCGAATTCTACTCTAGAATTGCCCGTAATTTTTTGGGAAAATTTCAAATCAGGAACTTCAATAAAAATTTTACGTTGAAGGAAAAATAACCACTTGAAATGATTAATGGTTATTATGTATAGTGTATGGGCTTAAATAACCACCATGAGTTGTTATTGCTTTTTCATGATAAGTATCTTTATCGAGAATTACTTTTTCTAGGGTTTGCATGCTTTTTCTTTACGTGTGTGAAAATAAAAAAAACCTTTATCATTTAATAAGTGTGCGTATACTTTTGCGGCTTTATTCTGGCTTTCTATTCTACCTTTACCAAAGAAAAATATGAGAAACCTATCGTATAAATTTATTTTGTGACCTTTCCACCTGTGAGTTACTTGTTTTTCTTTTTATTGTTTAGGGAAAATTTTGCCATTGTCATCTGTGATTATACCACTTTTTAACCATGTTTTGGATGTCCTGAGAAATGTTCCACGCTTTCAGTCAGAGTATGGGATTATCCTTCGGCATCTATTGACAGTTAGGGATTATAGTTTCCACATGAAGAAGCCCATTTACCGCAGTAAGTTTTTGTAAACATGAGGCGTGCACCATCCCCACATCTCATCAACACTATCTTTTTTAAGTTTTTTTTTTCTTCAAATCAAATTCTTTTGGCTAGGCCTGGTGAAACTGTACATTGGTAAAGTTGAAGCGAGCTTGAATGGGAAAATTAGTAGGGATTCTACTCCCAAGGGGGAGGTGTTCCGCTATATCTTAACGCTTCAGTCGCTTTTGGGAAATCCTCCTAGAGACTACCCTAATAATCTAAGAGAAGACATTGTTAAGGGGTTTGTTAGGATCTGTTCATTCATCAGGTATTTCTTAAGGTGATTCAATGTTTTTCTTTTCTTTTTTGCTATTATTATAATCTGCTGATTAGAATATGTCACTTGTTTTTCTTACTTTCTTCAGGGAAGAGGGAATGACATCACGCAAGCTTATTGAGTGTATAAATACATATTTGTTAAATGATGGTCCTAATTTGGGCTTTCAGCTGTTAGAGATCCATAGTGCCATGCAGCAGTTTGTGTTCTGCTGTTGGCTGACAACACATGATCGAGTTCTTAAGGTTTCTTGCCATTGTATTTTAAAGCAAAATACTAGCTTAACTTACAAATTGTTTTTAAAATTTTGCAAATTGCTCTCTTAATATTTCCGTTGCAGGATTCACTTATATTCTATGCAAGGATACAGTTAAATTTAATGAGAGGTGCTGGTGATAGGAGTTTATTGGTAGAACAGCTTTTGGATGTGATTTGTAAGGATCTTGATCAGGGTAGCATGTCTAGTACTTCAATTCCGCGGTGAGTGTTTCTAATGTTATTCATTTCATATTGTTAATAATGGATCTTTTAGTAGTTTTGTAAAGAAACAATTCAATTCAAAAGCTTAAGCTGTTGGGTGATGGTCTTTTTAATGATTTATATTATTTTCTAACACACCCCTTTACGCAAGAGCCCTTTAGGCTTGAAGCGTAGATATTGCACAGGCCAATTTTTGGTTTACCTTGTGCTTATTTAATTTCACTAGAAAGTGGGGGGAGAGGGTGAGAATCAGATTCGTGACCTTGTGGTCATTGAAGCTCTGATACCATGTAAAGAACAAATTCAACCTAAAAGCTTAAGCTGTTGGATGATGGTCTTTCTAATGATTTATATTATTTTCTAACAAGTTTAAGATGATCTTAATGAACTTTCTACCAGGGGGAACAGAAATAAAGATGATAAACTTGGAGCTTTGAGTAGCTCACAATGTGGCTTGGTGGAGCTTGCAGCAGTTCTATTTTATAGGGTAGTTACTACAAACTCAGCCACCTGGTTCTGGGCATCATATTGAAGCTTATGGGCTTAATTGTTTATAATTTGTTTGTCCTTTTCCTGCAATCATTTTGATTGAGTCTGATACAATTAGTCAATTACTTAAGAATCTTCGTGGTTTTTGGTATGCTTCCTTTTTCCTTCAACGTTATTGTTTGCTATTGGGTTTGCTGGTAAACTTGGAGCAGTGGCTCGTGGTTTGTTTTAGAGATTCCAATAAAAATAAGGAGGCAAAAATGTTATGGTAGTGTGTGATATTTTGCAGTGCCCTTGTGTATTTGGTTGCAGCAGAATGCCCTCATCTCTATGGGCTTCTCTTTGCCCTTAGATTTACCTTGGTATAGTATTGTCTTGATTGACTTCTCTGGTGCTCTGCTTATGGTTTTTTAAAGTGAGTTTCCATTTATGATATGCAGAGAAGCTGGGTAGTCTTGCTGCTTTTTTTATTCTTTTATTTTCCCTGTTATTTAGAGCTTGTTTGACACTTCTTTTTTTTAAGCTAAAAGTTATTTTTAAGCTAAAGTTAAAAAAAAGCTTAAAAATAAAGTTAAAAGCTATTTGTTAATTATATAAAGTTATTCTCAGGGTTTTGAAGGGAGGGAGATGAAATAATTTGTTTTAGGGTAAATTACTAGGGTAAATGGTAAAATTTATAAATACAAGTTTAGAATAAAGATAAAATTGAAAAATAAATATGAAAACTCTTAAAAGTTGATATATATCTTATAAAAAGCTCCTCCCGGGAGCGTTTAGCTTTTTCTTTTTTTCTTCATTATAAAAAATAGCTCTTTTTATGATATAAGAGCTTTTGTAAAATTATGTTTGGCTATACTTCTCCTTATAAGGAGAAGTGAAGCTAAAAGTAAGAGCTCCCAAACAGGCACTTATATTTCTGACTTGGATGGAGGTTATCTTTACCTCACAATAGTTTTACTAGCCTTCTTTTCTCTCTAATAATGATTCATTTTCCTCACTTCCTTATAATTGATTTATCGGAATGTCACCATTTTTGCCAACTATAAAGTTATTTATGTTTGGAGTTTCTTAGTAATGTTTGTAGATTAAGTTGAGAATGTGGCTATTGTATTTTGGGTGGTTGTGACTGAAAGATCACGGGTTTAAATCCGGGAAACAACCTCTTTGCAATTATGCAGAGGTAAGGCTGCGTACAAGGATTGCCCCCACCTTTGTTAGTTGAGGTTTAATAAGGAGTGGTTTTTTTTTTACTATAAAAAATTATCATATTGCTTGCTAATCTGATTTATTACTCAGGCATGCCTTAATACAACCAGAGCCTCATTAAGTGAGAAACGGGTTAAGAGGGATCCAGCTGCTTTGATCTTGAGGGAGGCACTCATGAAAGGCAAATGGTTATGGTAATTCATAAGCTAATTTGAGGGTTGCTTTATAAATCACATTCTGTAGTATGCCATACTGACACCAAATGTGATTTTTTTGCCTCTTTTAAGGAATTGGTTTTATCTCCTTATCCTTTGTACACTTTTTCTGTCCTATAATAATAGTCCTATTTAAAAAACCAATTATTTTGAAAAGCTTCTGTTTTAGTTCATATTTATATCAGCAAACTTTTGTTTTGGGTTCGAGGCTTCTCCATCTGTTGACCTCTGTGTTCTGTGTACCCTTGGGGTCTCTTTCTCATAGAATCTTCAGCTATCTGTTAAAATCTGTGTTTTATCATGCTAGAACAACTGATAAACAATATGATGTGTTTACATTATTGCTTTCATAACTTGTACACGATCATTTTCGCTTTCACATATTTCAAAAGATTAGAAATTGGGTAGTGCCTCATTTTCCACCAAGGCCTTTATCTCAGACAATAACTTTGATGCATTGAACTTCTACTATAGACTGTGCTTGGATTGCTTGGAAACAATGGGTTCTGAATTGACTTTCAAACTCTCGCTCAGTATGAACCAGCAGTATCAAGCCGCTGAAATCGAGGGTTTGAGGCTTTATAAAGAATTCTATTAGCTCTTTTTGGCTTAAATTAGTGAATGCAGCAAGGGCATGAATTGAAAAATCAATTTCGGGTCTGGAGCATAATCATCATTTTATTGTAGTTTTACATAAAATTCCCTTCTTTACCAAATACACTTAATTTAAGATGAAAAATAACTTTTCAGTTGTTACTCCGTGTATAGTGATCTCTCTGATCTCTCTACTCTGCTCTTTACTTCTCTCCTTGTCTTCTCATATTTCTTATTAAGAAAATGTTTTTGATGTATTGGTGTGATGTTGAATTGTTTGCATTGTTACGTGTTAGATTGCTGTTAATAGCTTTATCCAATTATAATTTTTCATAGAAATGGAAGCATTAAGAGAGAAATTGATAGAGAGAGAGAACAGTGGGAGAATTCTCTAAAAATATAATTATTTTCATTATTCAGTGAACCCTATTAATAGTTCTGATATATATATAGGTAGGATCCTTTGACACCAAATCCTAACCGTTGATTTCATGAATCTAATGGTTATAATTTATTAGGTTACACTTATTAATTAATTATTAATTCTCAATAAATGAAAACACCATTAGATTGACAGAAATCAACGATTAAGATTTGGTGTCAAAGGATCCTATCCTATATCTATCTATTTATCTATATACACACACACACACACACACACATATATATATATATATATATATATATATATATATATACATACAGTTAAAACAGTGGGAGACAACTGTTTTAAGTAACACTGTTTAACAAATTCTGTTACAAGAACTGAACCTGACTAACTCTGCTAACTAATAAAACTAACAGCAAACTAATATACACATGGTGTATATCTCTAACAGCTTCCTTTCAAAGTCAGGGTGGTTGCAGTAAATGAAACTGGTCAAAAAGACAACAGAATCTAAGCTTGAAAGAGGCTTAGTGAGGATATTGGCTAGTTGGTATTGAGCTGGAACATTAACTCCAATTGAGCTTTGTCACTGACTTTCTCCTGAACAAAAAAGATATCAAGTTCCATTTGTTTGGTTCAAGAAATGGAGAATTGGATTATGAGAAAGTGACACTGTACTCAAGTTGTCACAGTATGTCACATGGGAATCTGCAGTATATCAACAGACCAAGTCTGGCCAGTGGAAGCCCCAGAAGAGGCAAGATAGGCCATTGGAGGACCTTGCGGCCTCTGAGTGTGGAGGTGGTCCAAGAATACCGTGGGCGAGGTAGGTGCACCATTAAAAGCCGTTGGTGATGAAGCAGGGATTGATGCATGAACAGGAGGTTTAGGAGGGCGAGGATCACCTGAATTTCGGAAGGGGTTGGATGTTGAGACCATAGCCAGGGTCCATTCAATCTTTGAATACCATGTTACAAATTGTGCTTGAGTACGAAAATGAGAGAAATTGCAGGAAAGTGAAAGAAAATGATAGAGTAGAGAGAGAAAACTGAGAAAGTGTTTTCTGAGAATCTAAGTTTTTCCATTTTTCAGTGAGCTCTATTAAGAATTCTGATGTATAAAGTGCCAGTTAAGAGCAGTCTAACAAATTTTGTTACACTAGAAGTGTGCCTAACTAACTCTGTTAACAATTACAACTAACGGGAAGCTAGTATACACGAGATGTATATCTCCAATATATATATATATATAGGGTCAGGATCATTTTACACCAGTGTAAGTTACACTCCTAATCTTGTCCGTTAATCCCACTTATATCTAAAGGCTCAAATTTTTAAGTAATGTGAGCCATTGGATACAAGTGAATCAATAGTCAAGATTGAGTGTAAGACTTCTAACTCTTATACCAGTGTAAGAATATCCTGCCCCATATATATATATATATATATATATATATATAGGATCCTTTGACACCGGTGTTAAACTTTGAAATGTGACACCAAATCCTAACCGTTGATTTCTGCCAATCAATGGTTATCATTTATTGGAAATTAATAATTAATTAATAAGTTTGATTTCCAATAAATGGTAACCGTTGATTGGTGGGAATTAAGAAGTTTGATTCCCAATAAATGATAACCGTTGAGTGGCGGAAATTAATGGTTAGGATTTGGTGTCAAAGGATCCTGCCACACACACACACATATTGAAATGTGACACCAAATCCTAACCGTTGATTTCTGCCAATCAATGGTTATCATTTATTGGAAATTAATAATTAATTAATAAGTTTGATTCCCAATAAATGATAACCGTTGAGTGGCGGAAATTAACCGTTGATTTGGTGTTTACATCATTATGTACACACACACATGGTGTTTACATCATTATGTAAAAATGTAAACTTTTAATACCTGTTTGTATCCTCTCTTTTTTAGCTTCTCTTCTCCTTTTAAGCAGAAGCTAGGCCAAACAGGTTTTTACAAAAGCTCTTATAATAAAAAAAAGCTCGTTTTTTATAATGAAGCCAAAAGCCAAAAGCTCCCAGGAGGAGCTTTTTTTTAAGCTCTTGTAAGCTTTTCTTGAAATGAGATTTGAGCTTTTAAGTTAAATTTTTTATGTAATCACCAAACAACTTTTAGTTCTTTTTTAGGCTTTTTTTTAGCTTTAACTTAAAAGTAGCTTTTACCTTAAAACAAAAGAGGACCCAAACAGGCTCTTAGTGGAAATTGAATTTCTTTGTTTACATAACCTGATTGTTGGTATTTAACTTATTCGGTTTTAAAGTTTTGTTTTGTGTGTAAAATTTTGGGTTTGTTGAATTTTTTGTTATCATTTTCTCATTTTACAGTATCTGCTTGTATGCTAGAATCTGCTTGTATGCTAGAATCTGTAGTAAAGTAACACACAAATCAATTTTGTTGTGTTGTGCATTATTGATGGAGATTATTTAAATTAAATATCATCATGCCAAAGTCTAACGGATGATCTATGCTACAGGAGTGCTGCATTTTGTTCTCTCACTCGAAACTACCATACTCACATTTGCAAAGATCTGTTTCTCTACTGGTTTGAAGGCATATGGATGAGCTTTGACAGGTACTTTGGGATTGGCAGGGTAAACAAAGGAACGGTTGTTGTTGTCCCTTGTTTCAACATTGGTGGCTCCCTTCATATCTTTCTTATGCAAAATCATAGACGGTTTTCTTGCCAAAATACTGCATAGAAAAGAGTGGACATTATGATTCCTGACTCTCTTGCCCTCTCTTTGCTTTTTATGGTTTTAAAATTTAAACTTTTCAGGATTGCAATCATTTTCACTTTTATTCATTCACTTCTTTTCTCTCTCATCCTCTCTTTGCTTACACTAATTTTTTTTTTCTTTCTCCTATACTCAAGTTGCTTTTTTATTTAATAACAAAAAGTAAACATTATCTGTGGGAATGTTGTGCATGCTTAGAGAGACAATTTATGCTTGGTAATTTTTCTGGTTGGAATGTGAACTTTCTTCGAACACTCAGGTGCTTTTCTCATCGTTTGAATTGAATATCTGTTTACGCATGCATGACACATCTTTGTAATGAAAGAATGTTCATCATCACCATCATTAACAAAGTTGGGATAATATTGCAGAATCCTGAATTCGGCGAATATTGATTGTGCCTATGATGGTTTGTTGTGGACTATGCGGTATGCTGCTGTGAATTCCCATAAGTGTTTCGCTTTTTTATTTTCTCTTCTGATATGCATATAAATAAGATAGTTTGATGCTTATGCAGTTCAGATCATTCTTGGAGTTTATTCCTTTTTTTCATATTACGTATATCATTCTGGTCTATTTGAATTGGCACCATGGATCCTGGTTACCATCTGAATATTGTCAACTTATGTCTGTTTTCTTGCATGTAAAGGAGTTTGCAGGAACTTTCATCTGTTCTGTTGCTTCCAAACTCAATGATGGAGATATCCTCAATTTCAAATGAGGTCTCTTTTTCTCGCACATATTCTCACCTGTCCTTCTTTGATGTATGCCACACTTATGCCTCCAAATTTTGACACTTGACATATACTAGTTATGTGAAAAGCCATTGGGGAGCTTGTTTTGGATTAATGTGCCTTTTCCCTTCCTTTGTTGTATTTTCCTTGTTTCTATGGTAAGGAGGATATCTTATTTCCTCCTTGCCCTTGTTAAATTCTCTGGAAGAGAAATTGGAACAGATTGTATGTCTTTTAGTTTGCTATTTAATGATCTGTGGATAGACTCTGTGAATGCGTTGTAGTAATCAATGAAGCTAGCAATGTAGAGAAGTGTTATAATTATTAAAAGGACAGCAAAATACTGTATGTACAAGAATCGAACCTAAACGTCTGATTTAGGCTAATTGAAAATTTTGAATAATCTTTCATTGAAACTCAAGTTTTAATTTAAATGTATTCCATAGCAGTTACTGACTTTTGACAATTTTATCATTAAAATTGATTACTTTTTAGGGCTGTTCTGGACAATTGTCACTATTCTTGTTGCTACTCCAGTATGATATTTTCTTGCTAAAGTATGCATTGATTGGTTAAACTAATTTTTGCAGTTCATCAATGGTTGGCAACTACTATGGAGTACTTTAGTGCATGGATTGCCTATTTTCAGCAATATATCTGCTCTTGTAAGTTTTCTTGACAGATCCATCCTCCCAATTTTAAGTTGTAGTTTTTTGATGGGTAATGGGTATTAAAATGATCCTTGTAGATCACTATTGAGTATAGTAGTATGTGTAAAGAACCTTGGGATACACCACCCCAAAAGCTAGCTCAAAGGGTGGGAGTGCCCAAGGCCTTATAAACTCCACATTAGTTGCACATACAACCAATGTGGGATTATATATCTCAACACGCCCCCTCACACAAGAGCTCATTGGGCTTGAAGAGTGGACAATGCAATAGGCCCAGCCTACCTGTGCTAAGAAACGCCACAAGAGAAAGTAGGGGGCGGCGAGGCTTTGATACCATGTAAAGAACCTTGGGATACACCACCCCAAAAGCTAGCTCAAAGGGTGGGAGTGCCCAAGGCCTTATAAACTCCACATTAGTTGCACATACAACCAATGTGGGATTATATATCTCAACAGTATGCAAGTGTCATTCCCGCAGAGTATGTTATTGTAAGGAACCGAGTAGACTGTGAGTGAGAAGTGAGAAAGAAATGTATATATGGTGTTCGTATAGCTGATATCAGTGAGATATCAGAATAGAAACGTGATTACAGTATAATGAAGATGAAAGAACTTGGCATCCCTGAGTATTCGCGAGGCTCAAGACTCTCTTAACTTACTTCCCAGTACACTTTGGATGCCCCCACTCCTTTCCCACTATTCCCTCTTATCCCCTTCTCCCTACCAAGGCACTTGTAACAGCCTTTCCTGCCAAGTGAGAGCACATGGTTTTGGCTTGTGAAGGGCCCAATCCTCTACAATCCTTCCTGGTGTACACCCTCATGAGGGGTTCCTAACAGTTATTAATTCAAATAAAGAGGTCTTTTGAATGACTTACTAAATTAACAGATTAAAAAGAAACTAAAAATTGCAAAAGAATGAATCAAGATTTGAGTGAAGACAATGATGATAGGACTGGTCAAAGGATCATTATCCATTGCTCGACAATGACAAGAACAATTGATATTAGTATTTCTCACAATTTCTAATTTGAATTAACAACTGTAGATAGCAATAGTTTTCTGTATAGGATTAGGATAGTTTTCCTTGCTTCTAAAGTTTCTATGCATTATTTTTTTGGGGGTATCTCTCAGATATAAAGGTAGGTTGGAGAGTTCTTTTGAGCTGATGTATTTTTATTTCCTTCACTTCCCCATTGATTTATTTGTTTCATGTGGAATCCGGACTGTTCTTATTCTTTGCTCCTTTTCTTTCTTAATAAACTATCCATATATGATTTTTGTTTTCACTTTTCCGTGATTAGAAAATTATGTCTCCGTTGTCTGATTGGTTTACTCGATATCTTGTTACTAGAAAATTGATAGAAAGTTTAGTTGCTAAAGTTTGGTTAGTTTTTTTTTTGGATTATTTTTTAGTTTTATTATTATAATTATTATTATTTGTAAAAAACTAGAAATTGTTTCTCTCTTGGTTATTTCTGCTTAAGTTGCCATTTTGATTTTGATAAAGACACTTTGATGCAGGTGGATGCTGCTTTGGTACTTCTTAGTAATATAGCCTCGAATGTGAGTTATAGAGTTTACACATTTAAGTATACAGTTAATAATAAATCTTACGCAACGTGCTTCTGTCCAGGATTTAGTGAATACATGTGTTATACCTCAAGATGTGTGGGATCTTCAGTTTTTCAAAAGATCAACTTCAATGTAAGTGTCTTTTACCTTGATTACATCACATGGAAAATATGGTTGTAAGATTCTTACTGAATAAATGAAAGTATATCATTTAAGTGTGTAAATAGATCCAATAATACATCATCGCACTCTTATCAAAGAACTGATTGGAGCTCAGGCGCTCAAATTTCCATGGATATGTAGAATACCTTGATACTATTCTTGTGATTATTTAGAATGATGACAATGAAAGAAATTTGGGTGTCGCATTGTAGATATTTCAAATAAGTTAATTGCTATTTTAAGTTTTAATTTATATATTGTAGACACATTTGCTGATTAAATACCAAAAGAAAAACCCATCTGCAAGCCATTTGATCCCTCCTACTAGTTGTGTGACCTCTCATTTTTATATTTTATAGCATAAGGACTAGTCAAATATGTAGACACACTATTACACTTCCCATGAAAGAGAATAGTAGTCACCTTTTCAGCGTGGTGTGTTTATGCTGTATGTTCTTACTGAAGTGGAATAAGCAGTGTAAATGAAGCTTTTGTTGAAGTATGAAAGCCAGAGTAGCGAGGAAAGGCATCGACCAATTATTCCGAATTTATCATTTATAGCTTTTTCCCCGCTTTTCCTATTTTTCTTGATTCTTTTCTGAATATGAAATTTGTTATATACTTGATATTACTACGGCATTCTTATTTTGCTCATGATTTGCCTTTTATGCAGACCTGTCTTGTATTTTTTCTCATGTTACTTTTCAAGGAAAAGTTCCCATGTAAGTTGCTAAGGGAGCATCATATATATATATTTTTATTTTAATATCATCTATTTACTTGATGTTAAATTCTAAATTGTCTTAAAAGCTTAAGTCTATATAAATTGTATTAGCCATGTGTGTTTTGTCCTCGGGATTTATTTTGCGGAATTGAATTTGAAGAGAATAATTTCTACAAGACTTGATTTTGGTAAGTGTTAGAATATCTTAGAATATCATAGGTATATATGATATGACATCATAGATATACTCTGGAATCAAATTAGGATAATGTATGTTAGGGACATAGTTATCCATTGCGGGTAGGAGGGTAGTGGCCAACCCTAAAAATGCTATAGCAGTAAAACGGATAGCATTATAGCCGCTACATTGAAGTTCAATTATGTGATATAAAATATAAAATATAAAATATATAATTATTCATATAAAATAATAATACATTAATATTAATTTTACTTATTCAAAATAATTAGCAGAGAGAGAAATCAAAACAGTTAATCATATATTCATATTAATATATAAATAATACACATTGGACTATTGGAGAAGGAAACATGCAGATGGTTTTTGGGCTTGACTTGCAACAAAATGAATGAGAGAGACAGATGGAACCATTCCTTCTTCATGGAAACATAGTAAGAGAGACTGAAGGAATCTGCCATAGATCGAAACAGAATCAGTGAGATATCAAGATTGTGCTGCAGTCAGAGAGATTATGCTGCTGTAGGCTTGCCAGAAAATAGGTGAGAAAGAGGGATCAAGGTCGGAAAATGAGTGAAAAAGAGAGATGAAACAGAACCACCGTTGCAGATCGAAATTTGAAGAAAATAGATCCTAAAGGACATAGGGTTCAGAAATAAAAAGGATAAAAGTCCAGTGTACCATTAAAATTAAATTCTTAGTCAATAATACCCTTAACATAAAAAAATCTCTATCCCTCCCTTGTAGTGTAGAAATTGCACCACTACAGCTGCAAAATGCTACTTCAAATTGTGGCTGCTATGGCCGCCACTGTAAATTGTAGCATCGCTTGCGGTTTGTTGGGGCTGAGTGCCACTACCCGCTACTGATGCGGTATAACGCGCTATAGCGCGGCTTTTTTCATCAAATATTCTATGTGGACTGATGCAGACACAATTTCACCCTATCTAGTTTAGTCTCTAAATTCTCTAAACATCACTTGTAAGAATCAATGTTAGGTTTGCAAATTATATTTTAGAGAGTGTCTATCCATATCTTTAACCCCGAAAGGGTAGGAGTGATTTTAGACACTTATCTTATTCATGAACTTTCACTAAAACCAGAAAGTATTTCCTTGTTTTGGCTCCTTGAAACACTCATTTTATCATGGTTCGAGAATAGGATTCGATTGAATGATTGATGATTGGATTGGAAACCTGGCCTTTTTTTTTGCTGACGTTAAGCCCATCATTAAATAAATTAGAGGTTTTAGATAAAAGGCATTCATAAATTTGATATTTGTAAAGAACCGATTCAACCCAAAAGCTTAAGCTGTTGGGTGAGGCTACATTAATGGTTTTATATATATCTCAACACGCCCCCTCACACGAGAGCCCACTGGGCTTGAAGGGTTGACAATGCACAGGCCCACCTACCTGTGCGAAGAAAGAAATTCCACTTGAAAGAAAGTGGGGGGCGGCGAGGATCAAACCCGGGACACGAGGCTCTGATACCATGTAAAGAACCTTGGGATACACCACCCCAAAAGCTAGCTCAAAGGGTGGGAGTGCCCAAGGCTTTATAAACTCCACATTAGTTGGCTCATACAACCAATGTGAGACTATATATCTCAACAATATTAAACAAAATAAATACCTTTTGTACTAAGTAAGAATTTAATATCAACCACTGTTCTTTATTCTAATGCTTCCATAATATAATAGAAATCATACAAAGTTAGTTTTCATGAATTGAGTTTTTCTCCCTTAATAAAGAAATCTTATCACATTATGAAAATATTTAATTATCATTTGATTGATTTTTTGATAATACTCTAATTGATATGAGAGAACATAGGTTGAGATGGTTTGGACATATAGTTTGAAGATCCCTAGATGCTCCTGTGAGAACAAAAGTTTTTATCAAAATCTAGACAAAAGAGAGAAAGAGGTGAACCAAAATTTACTTGGGGGAAATATTAAAACAACTTAATGGAGTGTGAATTAGATTGGCGATTGATATGTCTTCGTATGGATTGGAGGAAAGCTATTAACATTGTTGGAGGAAGGGGGTTAGACTCATCTTTCTTCCTATATTTCAGATAGTCCCTATTTAGTCATTTTTCCCTTCATTTTCCTTTCATTTCTTTATTCAGTTATTTAATTTATTTCGTCTCTATTTTTTCCTTTTTATTTTTCAATTTTTATTTTTACTACTTATTTTTTCAATTTTTTCCTTTTCTTTATCTATCTTTATTTTCACTCTATTATTATTATTATTATTATTTTTTGTATTTTTTTTTCAATTTTTCAATTATATTATTTGTTTATTTATTTATTTATTTTTCCTCAATTTTTTATTTGGGTTCATCGACCACCTACCCCAACTATTTTGTGATAAAGGTGTTATTGATGTAGATTCTAATTTGTTAAATTCTTGCATGTCATTTTCTTATTCTGTGTGATTGCCTTTTTGTATCTATCTCTCTCTCTAAATATATAGGAGTTATGAAGAGCAAAAGTTTTATCATGGGTACAGGCACAGTGGCACCTTTGACCAGGTGTCAAATATTTATTGGTTACTAGTTCTCATGATATCTGGGTGGAGTCTAGCAAAGTATAATCAGAAAGTAATAATTGTTTGATAACTGATCAAGGTCACTCGATCCTGGAACAAAAGTTGGTGCCGGATTAATCCCCCTCTATATACATATTTCTAGCTGTTGAACTTTCTGAATTGAGTCAACGAAGTAGTAGATAATTTAAATTTTTGGAACTCTATTGAATTTCTTATCTTTGTCATATATGATGAGTATATATATACAGATGAAAAATTGAACAAGCTTTAAACCTTCATATGGTCCATTTCTATATCTACTCTTGTAGTGCTCTTCTTTTGGTGACAAGTTCTATTTCTTCCTACAAAATAAAGTCCAAGTTTTGCAAATGTGCATGTGTGGGTAATTTTCAAGCTTTTTAGGTAAAAATGAAAAATATTTATATCGGAGCCACTTTTGTATTTAATTTACTGTCTCCATATTGTGCAGACTGACCTCCGGGATATTTTACATCTGAGGAAGAACCTTCTAAGAGCATCTTTGAGTAATCTTAATTGGAAGGTGCGTTTGCTTTAACTTTTTATGAACAAAGTATTTTAATCTTTCATAATAAATGTTATGAAAAATATGGTGATAACAAAGCTGAAGGGTACAGCCCAAACATGTAGGGAAAGCATAGTGTACTCTTGGTTTAGTTTCTGTTTTCTGTTCCTTATTATGCAGGGTTATTCAACTTTGAATGAACGGATGGTGTTGTTCCTTCCTAGTGCTATGTACGCACTTTGTTCAGGTTGTGTTCCTTTTACTCAATGCTTTAAAGAACTTCCTTTAGTATACAGCTCTGTCCACGTTGCTGAGGTTCTAAATGACTGTCTTAAGGTACAGCCTAGCCACTCCTGCCCACAACTAATTTTTGATCAAATAGTTTTAATCAAACAGTAGCTAAGAAACTGAATTGTGATGTTAACTGTAGTTAGAAGACTCTAGATACCAATGTCTACATGAATTTTTGGATTGCTCTGTGGAAGTTCTCACAAAAATTGACAAGGTTTCTGAAGTTGAGGTCTGGACCTTCATTTAAAGAATCTTGTATGTGTTATCATTCATGATTTCATTAAGGCAATTATAGTTTTTCAGGTTTCCCAATCGCAAAGATATCCACGTGTACGTATTCCCCATGAAATAAGTGATCAGCTATTGCATGAAATGGAGAGCTCTATTCTTGGAGCATTGGTGGAAGAAGAGATTAACCAGATGCGGTTACCTGATATTTTCTTAATATGTTCTCTCTTGTCTAACATACTATATGGATCTTTTTTCACAAGGTTTGTCACATTAAAGGTCATTCTTTATCTATATTCTTATACCTTTGGTACTACAGTTATGGTGTATATGTTTTCAAAATGGATGTAGAACAGTTGATCATTTTCTTCCCTGTGCCTCCATGTAATTTGTACTTTTGTGTATGATGAAGAAATGGGTAAAGCCTCCGCATGTTACAGAGTTAATATTGTTGTGTTTCCATGTCATTAGTACTTTTGGTATGATGAAGAAATGGGTAAAGCCTACACATTTTAGGGAGTTAATTGGTGTGTTTGTCTAACTTTTATCTCAATAAGAATTTCACTCACTTATGAAAATGGTTTTCCTCCTTTTAATTTGAAGTTTGTGTTATATATATAAAAAAAGAATTATATTGAGTTGATGTACTTAGAGATTAAGTGGGTTGGAGAAAAGGCTAAAGAAATGAAAAGTACCGGATTCGAGTTATGGTACACAGGTATAAACAAGAATAAAAATGCAGTTGAGATTGTGATTGATAAAAGTTTCAGAGACAGGATTGTTGATGTCAGAAGAAAAGGCAACGAGATTATTTTGGTTAAGCTTGTAGTGGGTTATTTAATTTTGAATATCCTCAGTGTGTATGCCCCTCAAGTTGGACTGCAATATCAACTTTGGAAAGATTTGAAGGAGGTTTTAAGGGAGATACTAGATGAGAAGATTTTCATAGGGAGAGGTCTAAATGGACATGTTGGTAAAAGTAATGGAGGTTTTTACAAAGTTCATGGAGGTTATGGCTATGGACAAGAAATAAGGTTGGAGAAGATATCTTGAATGTTGTTCTAGTTTGTGATTTGATGCTAGCAAACACTTTTTTTTGGAAAAAAGGGAGTTACGTTTAATCACTTATCATAGTGTCAAAAATTATAGTCATATTGATTTCTTTCTTGCTAAAAGAAAAGATAAAATCTTATGTGTAGATGGTAAAGTCTGTCTTGGAGAATGTGTAGCAATGCAACATAAGTTGGTGGTTTTAGATGTTTGGTTAAACAAAGTACATAAAATGCAGACGAATACTCAGAACCCAGGAATAAAATTGTGGAAGCTAAAGGAGGAAAAATAAACAGAGTTCAAGGAAAGAATGCTTTAAGAAGGACCATGGTAGTTTGATGGAGGAGCAAATGAAATATGAAACGAGATGACTATGTGTATCCAAAAAATGGGAATGGGGGTTGTTAGGGGAAAGCAAAGGGAATAGATCTCAAATGAAAGAAACTTGGTGGTGGAATGAAGATGTGTAGGAGGCAATTAAATAAACGAAAGACTGTTTTAGGTGTTTGCATAAATGTCCTAATGATGAGAATTTACAAAAGTTTAGATTGGCTAGAATATAAAAATGTTAAGAAAGCAGTGCGAGAGGTTAAAGGCAAGGTTTTCTCTGAGTTGTATAAAAATCTTAGGAGCCAGGATGGTGAAAAAGGTACCTATAAACTTGCAAAGATAAGGGATAAGAAAAGTAAAGACTTGACCTAAATTAGAAGCATCAAGGATGAAAATAAAAAACTTTTGGTAAGAGATACAAAAGTTAAAAAATGGTGGATGAACTATTTTAATAATCTTTTCAATGGGATAGTGACAAAAGTGAGGTGGATTTGGAGGACACTTATGATGATTTGAACAAAAGATTTGTGCCTAGAATCAAAGCGCATGAAGTTAAGGAGGTATTATAGAAAAGATATACTCGTAAGCTTGTACTTATTTACAAAAACAAAGGATGTATACATAATGTTCTAGCTATAGATGTAATAAACTTATGAGCCATACTATAAAACTGTGGGAGAGAGTTATTAAACATCACTTGAGAAGAGAGACCAAGATCTCTATGTAAATCTATTCAGATTTATGCCATGAAGATGCGCCATGGAGGCTATTTTCTTGATATGATAATTTTTGGAAAGATATCGAGAAAAGGACTTACATATGGTGTTTTTAGATCTCGAGAAGACATATGATAGGGTTCCAAGAATGGTTCTAGGGTGGGTTCTTGAGAAGATAAAAGTACGATCAAAGTATGTAGAGGCAATCAATGATATGTATGTTGGTGCTACTATATATACGAAGGCTTGTGATGTGATGGGCCTTTAATAAATACTTTTATTAAAGGCCCATCATAATGGAACATCAAGTTATTTTCCTGTCACCGTAGGTGTACACCAAGGCTCTACTTTGAGTACTTATCTTTTTGCTCTAGTTATGAATGAACTAACAAAAGATATCCAAAATGAAGTGCTATGGTGTATCCTATTTGCAGATGATATTGTGCTTATTCATCAGACTAAGGTTAGTGTTAATAGAATATTAGAATTGTGGAGAAGTACGTCAGGGTCTAAGGGATTCGCAGATGTATTTCTCAGGATGAATTGGAAGAAAACTACTAGCATTAGCATTGTGCAGGGTTAGATTCATTTTTCATCGTTTGTTCTAGATGATTTAATAGCATTGAACATGTCTGATAATTTTTTTTCCTTTTTTTTAAACTGGCTGAAGTATTCTATGTTATGTAATTCTATAGTTAAAAATTCAACTATAATGTGTTTTTGTCTCAATGCTCCTTTCACCTGATTTTCACCATTATTTTACCCTTTGAATTTTATTTTTATATATTTTTTTTTGAGTTTTTTCAGGAAAAAAATTGTTTCACTCCAATCAAAGTTAAGCCAATACTTGCAAGTGATGCTTGATAATGCTGCCAGAATCATTCAAAAAGACGGTGATCTCCGGGCTTTTAGTTGCTTAAGTGATGATCCTAATGGTGATGATGTGGATTCTCTTGCTGCTTCTGTTCGTTGTTTCCTTTCATCTCCTCTATTTTACAAATGGAGGGATCAAAATTTTGTGGACTTTGTTCCATTTGGTGAGGTAATCCAATCTGTGGAGAGACTCTTGAAAGCATTTGTCAATCTATATCAATGTTATTCTCAGCATGTGATGAACCTTCAGTCTGAGACGATCATGCAAGATATAGCTTCAATTGGTAGTATTCACGGTTCTTGCTCACATAACAGTAGTAAAAGCAGGATTGTGGATATGGAATTGGATGTAAATGATGATTCTAGAGACGTAGATAGTGAAGCAGTTGGGAAAAAAATAAGCAGTGGAGTTTCGTCTTCTGCAGAGAAGTGGAAAATGGGCATGGTATCACTTATTTCCAGTTTTTTCTCTGCTTCACACGTTCTTACGTGGGATATCCTCTTCAAACTAATGGAGAAAGAATATGATCCTAAGGTAGATTTTGACACAGTAACAATTGCTCAATGTCCTTGAACTTATTAGTTAAATATTGATGTTTTCTTCGTAATTGAATGGTTTCTTTTTGTTTCTGTGATTTTTATCCTTTTTAAATTCAGGTGCGTGAAAAAATATTGTATCATCTCTGTCAAAATCCTCATTGGTCTTCTGCTGCAAAATTTATTGGTTTGGTATGAAACTAACTGGGTCTATATTTCAATAAACTATTTCATATGTATTGTAAATAATAATTATTTAGTTATTATTTAGTCATTTATTTATTGTATTGGGCCAAGCCCATTAGGTCAAAATTAGGTCAAGTATTCTCTATAAATAGAGAACCCTTTGTACAAATTATTTACAATTCTATAATATATCAGAATACCTTTTTCAAGTTGGTATCTATCAGGGCTCTCGATTCTGCGGGTTCTGCTTCCGCAAATCACCATCTTTAAAAACAATTGAATCTGAAATATATTGTATATTCAAGTGTGTAAGTCTGTACAAGGAGGCTCTCTATTTATAGAGACTAAAAGACCTAATGGGATGACCTAATGGGCCAAGCCCACAATCTAGACTATTCTAATAATAATAAATTAATATTATTTCTAACACTCCCCCTCAAGCTGGTGCATATATATCAAAAGCTCCCAGCTTGTTACAAATATGATCTATTCGGGGACCTCTAAGATCTTTAGTGAATACATCCGCAAGTTGATCATTGGAATTGACAAATGCTGTCTCGATCTCCCTTGACTGGATCTTTTCTCTAACAAAATGACAGTCAATTTCTATATGCTTGGTCCTCTCATGAAAGACTGGGTTAGAGGATATATGCAAAGCGGCTTGGCCCAATGCCACGAGCAGGAGCCTTGGTGCCATCAGCAAGAGTAACAGAGGGAAGATTATTAGAAAAGGTAAGGGAAGTAAAAAGATCCTTATTACCACAAAGATGATCAGTAGCACCTGAGTCTATTATCCAGGGTCCAAGAGACGATTGAGAAAAACAAGCAACATGATTACCAGTATCTGGAGCAGGTGGCTGAGAAGAACTCTTCTGGAGAAGGGCCTCATAGTCTGCAGCGGAAATAGTCACTGATCCGGTAGAGGGCGACACAACATCTGTTTGAGCAAAGTTCATATGTGGTGGCTTCAAGTGAGGGTACTTTCTATAACAACGTTCTTCAATGTGGCCCAGATATTGGCAATAATTACACCGAGGCCTTTGTCCTCGGCCACCCTGTCCATACGACCGCCTTGTCCGCGGCCACGACCACGACCGCGTCCACCATTGTTCCAATTACCACGAGAGACTAAAGCAGCAGAATCAGACAAGAGAGCAGTAGAGTCAGTAGCTGGCACGTGTGCGGGGGCCACCTTATCTTGAAGATTCAAAAGGCGCTGAAAGGTCTAGGATATGCTGGGAATCTCAGTACTGGTTAGAATGTTCTCACGAACACTTTCTAATCCGTCAGGGAGACCAGAGAGAGTCACAACCGTAAAGAGACGCTCCACTTGCGTCCTGTACACGGTAGCATCCGCAGCATGAGGTAACATAGCCAAAAATTCCTGCATCAAAGAACGAATCTTACCAACATAAACTTCCATACGAGCTTCGGGTGATTTGCGCAAATCCATCATCTGGGAGACAATGGAATAAAGTTGCTGAATATCATTGGTGTAGAGGTTTTTGGCTTCCGTCCACACATCATAGCAGGTCTCAAAGGGAATGAAAAGATTGAGAAGAGATGAATCAATGGATTGCCAAAGAATACTGAGGAGCTGAGCATCAACTTTCTCCCATTCAGTCATCTGATCTTTGGAAATATCAGTCTTCTTAGTGGTGAGATGTTTGTCATGGCCTTGACCGGTAAACCAGATCTTAACGGAGGTAGACCAGGTCTTGTAAGTGGCAGATCCGGTCAATTTCAGAGTTGTGATAGATGGAATAGCACTTGAAATGATGCCGGAAGAATGTTTACTGGTTCCTTCCATCAGGAACAGCGATCAGACAACCAAAAAACTGTAAAAATCACGCGAAAAAGGAACAAAGTAGCGACTTTTGCACTGGAAACCCTCGAACGGAAGAGACCCACAACGAACGGGCACCGGATCTGGAAGGAGGAGGCAGAGGCGAGCCTGTCTGCCTTGGTTTGGCCGGAATAGGTGGCCAGAACAGTGCACACGCGCCGGAGAGAGGTGGCGCGTGAGGCCCACGCGCAGACGGCTGTGGTGGCGCGTGGAGGCGCGTGCGGCGGCCGTTTGGGACGGGTCTTGGACAGAAATGGTCGCCGGCGTGAGGGGATCCTGATCGCGTGGTTTCTCGCCGGAAAGGTGGCCGGAACAGTGATGAACAGTGACGGAACAGTGTTTCTGGCGATGTGAGCAGTGTTTTCCGGTCAAATAATGAAGGAGGATGACGATCTGAGATCGAAAAAGGGTCTAACAATGTTCGGAGGGTTGAAAAAGGTTGCCGGTATGATGCATGGCGGTAAAAAGGTTTGCCGGTATGATGCACGGCAGTAAAAAGAAAGGAAAAGATATATATGCGGAAGCAGAGCCCTCAGATCGAGAGCTTTGATACCAAATTGAATCTGAAATATATTGTATATTCAAGTGTGTAAGTCTGTACAAGGAGGCTCTCTATTTATAGAGACTAAAAGACCTAATGGGCCAAGCCCACAATCTAGACTATTCTAATAATAATAAATTAATATGATTTCTAACAAAAACCAACCCTATTTGCTTCTTGCCGCCGGAAAAAAAATTTTCGGGGACCTTTTGGATCGTGAGGACCCCTGTTTCACTCCGTTTTCTTAGATCTTTCATTCTACGGAGGTTTCTTTTTCATCAGACGACCAGAACAGCTTAAAAAAAAAAAATGCGGTACGGTTCATCGCGCACTGTTCACGCGGCACTGTTTACTGCACACTGTTCACGCGGTACTGTTCACAAAAGAAAAAACTTTTCTTGCTTGTTTTTTGTCTCCTCTCCATGGATCAGCTTAAACCCGTTATTGATAATATGTGTAAGCCATATGACCGTTCTTTGATCTTATCTTGTAAGAACACACATTCTACATCTCTTCTTGCTTCTTGCACTGATTTTAAAACCTCATGGATTTTGGATTCTGGTGCAACTGATCATATGGCTTGTCGTACTGAGTTGTTTTGTTCTTATCATCCTACTGTTGGTAGTCATACTATATCCGTAGTTGATGGATCCCATAAATCAGTTATTGGTTCTGGTAACATTCAAATTCAACCTTCCTTGTTTCTTAAGAATGTTCTTTATGTTCCTCAGCTTTCTACTAATCTTATCTCCACTCAAAAACTTACAACTGATTTGAATTGTTCTATCACATTTTTTCCTTCTCATTGTGTTATTCAGGATCTTACCACGAAGAAGACAATTGGAGTTGCTAATGAACAGAATGGGTTGTATCATCTCCTTCCAAAACATGCTATAAATGATAGCAAAAATCAGTTATTAATGACACGTCATCCTTCTACTGCAGAGTCTATGATTTGGCTCCATCACAAGCGTCTGCGACATCCACCATTTAGTCTATTGAAGTCTATGTTCCCTTCTCTGTTTCTCAATCAGTCGGTTGAGACCTTTCATTGTGATGTTTGTGAATTTGCAAAACACCATAGAGTGTCATTTTCTTCTAGCACTATTAAAAGCTGCGAACCTTTTTCTCTTATCCGTTTTGATGTTTAGGGCCCTTCTAAAGTGCATAGTGTTTCAGGTGCAAGGTGGTTTGTTTCTTTTATTGACGATTGTACTCGGGGCTACATGGATATACTTGATGAAAGACAAGTTTGTAGTAACAGAGATATTTATTCGGTTTCATCACATGGTTGAGACTCAGTTTGGTAAGTGTATTAAAAGACTAAGATATGATAATGGTACTGAGTACGTCAACCAACGCCTGTCACAATTCATTTCAGACAGAGGTATGATTCATGAGCTCACATGTGTTGATACCCGTCAACAAAATGAGGTTGCTGAAAGAAAAAATCGTCACCTCCTTGAAGTTGCTAGAGCACTACTTTTCCAGTCATCTGTTCCTAGTTCTTATTGGGGAGAAGCCGTGTTAGCTGCAACCTTTTTGATCAACCGTTTACCTTCAAGTGTCCTTAACAATATCAGTCCTATTCATTCTATGACTTCCTTCTTTCCTTCTGTTCCCATATTGCAGAGCCTTCCACCAAGAGTGTTTGGATGTGTTGCCTTTGTCCATGTTCATAAACAACATCGGAATAAGTTGGATCCTAGGGCTCTTAAGTGTGTCTTCCTTGGTTATACCTCTTATAAAAAAGGGTACAAGTGTTATCATCCACCAAGTCGAAATTTTTTTGTTTCTATGGATGTCACCTTTCAAGAATCTGAATTTTATTTCCTGGGTCTTCATCTTCAGGGGGAGAACAGTTCTTCAGAAGACTCATCCCCTTCCTTCTTTGAGTCTGGATCGTCCTTGTCTACTCCTACACCTCTTCCTAGTGTGTTTGCTCCTGGTGTGTCAGAACCTTCAAATACACCGAGATACGGTAGATTTTGACACCTGAATTGGTATATCAGAGGAGGAAACAACCCATACTGTCTCACCAGCAACCTCAATCGTCTGAACCACTGGTAAGTCCTGAATTTCCTGTTTCTGATTATAATATTATTGCCTCTCATGATTTGCCTATTTCTTCTGATATCTCTGATGACTTACCCATAACTTACCTATTGCCCTAAGAAAAGGGAAAAGATCTTGTACTCAATATCCTATCTCCCATTTTGTTTCTTCTACTAATCTTTCTGTGCAGCACAAAAGCTTTGTTTCGGCACTAGATTCTATTTCAATCCCAAAATCAGTACATGAAGCTTTGAAAGATGAGAATTGGGCTCAAGTCATGCAAGAGGAAATGAATGCATTGGTGAAAAATAAAACATGGGAGGTTATTGATAGACCCAATGGAAAGAAAGCAATAGGGTTATGCCCTAAAGTGTAATTCTGATAGCACTCTTGAGAGATATAAGACTTGATTAGTCGCCAAGGGTTACACTCAGACCTATGGCATTGATTATGAAGAAACCTTTGCTCCAGTTGCAAAGATGGATACGGTGAGAATCTTGTTATCCCTTGCTGCTCATTACAATTGGGATATAAATCAATTTGATGTGAAGAATGCTTTCCTTAATGGTGAGTTAGAAGAAGAAGTCTACATGGAAATCCCTCCTGGTTTTGATTATGTGAATGGAGAAAATAAAGTTTGTAGATTAAAAAAGGCCTTGTATGGATTGAAGCAGTCACCTCGTGCCTGGTTTGGAAGATTTACTAAGGTTATGATGACTTTAGGATACAAACAAAGTCAAGGAGATCACACTCTTTTCTTTAAGCACTCCCAAGATGGGAAGCTCACTGTGCTCCTTGTATATGTTGATGATATTATCATCACAGGTGATGATTTTGTGGAGAGACATATTCTGCAAACAAGACTAGCATCTGAGTTTGAAATTAAAGACCTTGGAAAACTGAGATATTTCCTAGGGATAGAAGTAGCTCATTCAAAAAAAGGAATTTTTATCAGCCAGAGGAAATATGTTCTTGATCTTCTCAAAGAAGCAGGAAAGCTCGGGTGTAACCCTCTAATACTCCTATTGAGCAGAATCACAAGATAGGCTATGAAGAGGAGAGTCCTCCCATTGATAAAGGACAATATCAACGGTTAGTTGGGAAATTGATATATCTGGCTCATACTAGACTAGACCTAGCTTATGCTGTTAGTGTTGTCAGTTAGTTTATGCACAATCCAAAGGAGAAACACATGCAGGCAGTGGAGAGAATTCTTCAGTATCTTAAAGCTACTCCTGGTAAAGGATTATTATTCCGGCGTGATGGCCATCTCTCTTTAGAAGTCTACTCTGATGTTGATTATGCTGGATCTGTGACTGACCGTCGTTCTACCACTGGTTATTGTATGTTTCTTTGTGGTAACTTGGTGACATGGAGAAGTAAGAAACAAGATGTGGTTGCCAGATCAAGTGCAGAAGCTGAATTTCGAGCTATGGCTCAAGGCATTTGTGAGTTACTGTGGCTAAAAATTGTTCTTGATGACCTCAAAATAAAATGTGAGGGACCTATGAAGCTGCTATGTGATAATAAGTCCGCTATTTGTATAGCTCATAATCCAGTTCAACATGATCGGACTAAGCATATTGAGGTCGACAGCCATTTCATCAAAGAGAAACTTGATAGCGGGTTGATTACCACTCTATACATTCCCTCTGGGCGTCAATTAGCTGATGTATTGACAAAGGGACTTTCTTCAGACAGATTTCAAGAGCTTACTAGCAAGCTGGGAATGATAAATATCTATTCCTCAGCTTGAGGGGGAGCGTTGTAAATAATAATAATTTAGTTATTATTTAGTCATTTATTTGTTGTTTTGGGCCAAGCCCATTAGGTCAAAATTAGGTCAAGTATTCTCTATAAATAGAGAACCCTTTGTACAGATTATTTACAATTCTATAATATATCAGAATACCTTTTTCAAGTATATGGGAACACATACCACTGATTGCCTTCACTATTTGTGTCTATACTTGCGTTTTGCAGGTCAGCGTAATGAATGATATTATTGAAGAGCAAGTTAGACTTAAGCTTGCTTGTGATAATGTATTGACTTCTAACCATGCTTTACTAACTAACTTATCCTGCCTGGATGCTATTGGTAAGGACAAATGTAGCCTGTGCTTGGAGGAAATTGAAACTGAACAGGTACTTTTAAATTTCAATATATTTGGATTTTTAGCTTAGATTGCCTTCTAGGGACAATGAGTTTCTAGCATTTTCTTTGAACAATTATAAAAAATAAGTATTATTTGATGAAAATAATTTTTGTGACTAGATGTTACATGTAGAACAACGCAAATGCTAGGAAAATCTGTATTAGTTACTTCTGTTAGAAAGTCTAAGTTCCGGTCTTCACAAAACTAAGTAATAATGAGACCCTGCCGTAACTTTTTATGAACAAAAGTGACAATCAATTTGATAGGATACAACCCGAAAGTTGGATGAAAATGGAAAGAAAAACTAAATAATGTATTGTTATTTTAATGAAATAGGGATAAACCCTAGTATGAGTGATTAAATCACTCAAAACAAGATAAAACAAGGATTGAATATTGTAGAAATTCACATAGTAGTCAATAGTGGGCGAGCCGCGCCGGTTGCGCATTGCGCAACCCCACAGCTATTTCCGTTATATCTAGCTATTGTGGTATATCTAGCTACTATTAATCTATTCTGCTATTTCCGCAATCGCAACTCGCTATAGCGCTATAGCATTTTTCAGGGTTTGCCTCAACAGGCTGCAATTTGCTTTTAACTACTATGGAAATTCGAGGGTCTACAACCCTCCTAGCCTAGGGCTTTCGAGAGATGCATGGTATATCCCAATTTCCAATAACTCATTAGTCTCCTATCACCTCCTCCTTCTCCCCTGTTTATCGCAGATTACTCATAAATATATCATCAGTCACCCTTAACTACAAAACCAATCACCCATAATTACATAGTCAATCATCAATAAATCAAGCCATAACTACAAAACCAATCACCTATAATTACATAATCAATCATTTATAAATTGACCTCTTAAATACACAATCACCTATGGTTAATACCCATAATTGTTATCGGGAACACCAATAATAAGATCCCTTCATTTATTATGCACACTTAATATAGTGATGGTTGGTGTATTCCTATTAATACTTCCCCCAAAACTTTCACGTTGTCCTCAAGGTGAAGGCCAGTCCATGAAAATCTCCCCCGTGATCCCACTACATGAAATGTAGGGACCCACTTATGTACGTAACATAAAAACTTCCACTGAGATCCCATTGCACTTCTACAACTACTCAAGGTTGAGGATGATAGATCTGCAAATTGGTGATTGTAATGCCATCTAATCCAACTTTGATGTCGTTCCGGTTTGTTGGGCCAAAACGAGGTTTCTTGGGTCTGACTAAGTATAACCGAACCATGGGATCACAAGACCAAATGCCACAATTGACATATGGTAAGGGAACCATGTCCCTGTGTAGGCCTGGGAATGTCGTGGGAGTGCTTTGGGTATGATACATTTTGCTATTAAATTGGCCCAATTTTCCTAAGCCCCTCCATGACCTATTTTCGTCCTTTCTCTTCAAAGCGTTGGTAGCTGCTGCAGAGATCTCTCCTCCTTCATAGGAAGGTTCAAGTCTGGTGGATCAGGTGATGGTGATAGTAGGTTGGCCACCTCCTTTGGTGACGTTGGCATTGCTAGTATGTGCATATCGCTTGTCTTAGCCTGGAATGGTGTGCTCCCTGGAGTAGCTCGCATATTTTCCCTTTCTGCGATGCGTGGTTGTTGATACAATTCAAGGTTGCACTAAGTTATATTGAGCTGAATGTTGGTCAGCACATAGGCAACATGAGCATAAAATGAGAGTAGCATAAATGAGTATGTTAAGGTGGATGTGTGGTTATACGAGGATAGATAAGATAAAAAATGAAGATGTTCAATGAAAAGTAGTAGTACCGGTAACTGAAAAGATGAGGGAATATAGATTGAGTTGGTTTGCGCACGTAATGAGACGACCTTTTGATGCTCCTGTAAGAACAAAAGTTTGTTATCAAGAGCTCGACACAAAGAGAGGTAAAGGTAGATCGAAACTTACCTAGGGAAAGGTAATTAAACAAGGCTTAATGGAGTTAGATATAGATTGGCGGACGGAATGAGAAAAGCTATAAGCAGGGTGGAAGGTTAGACCCGTTGTTATTCGTATGTCCTAGAGGGTCCTTTTTTAGTCCTTTTCCTCTTCAATCCCCCCTCTCCTTCTTTTCCACTTGTCTTTTTTCTTATTTCCCCTTCTTCATTTATTTTTATTTTTAATCTCCTCTTGTATATCATCGGGTTCATCTACCACCGTCCCCAATTTGCTTGGGTTAAAGGTGCTGTTAATGTTGATGTTAATCTCATTTATGAGTTTTACGGTAAAATTGCACATTAGTATTTTACCCAGTAAAATTTACTATTCACACTTTTTCCCAAAAAGTCTCTAAACTGTCAAAATTATATTCTTAATTTAATTTTACCATTTTTATCTCCAAAATAATATATAATTATTCATTTCGCAGGTTTAACCTTTCATTTATCTCAATTACATACTCGTCAGTATATGTTTTCCCAAAACTGTTATAGCAGGTTGTAAAAGCGTTGTGGCAGGTTTTATTGTTTATCAACATTTACTTATGTGGGTTATTATACATATACCTATTTAGTGACATAGAGATTGGAGAGAATCATGCGAAATTTTCTCTTGTCTGCTATGGATCAGTTGAGGAAGGATCTCTGGAAGGTTCGGAAATTTGTTGTAGGCTAAAAGTGGAGGTTTGGGTTTGGTTAACTTGGTAACTAAAATTTTGCTTTGGTGTGTAACTAGTTATGTCCTTTTCCGGAGGAACCTTCTTCCTTATGGCATGCACTAAGGTTTGAATTAGATTAGGTGGAATGCCATTCTGGCGCTGATTGGTACTCATGGAAGCCCCTGGAAGGCTGGAAATTTATATCATATTTCTATGATTCTTTCCTTACTTTAGTTCCTTAAATTTGGGTGTTGGTTCTGAAATTATATTTTAGGAAGATGTTTGGATGGGTGCATCTCTGTCATGGAGGCGCTTCCATGCCTTTATGACCTTTCTTCTTTACATAATGCACCAATCCATCGTTTTCAGGGCGACTCTTTACTCTAACTCATTTCTTTAAGATTCTTAATGTTAGAAAGACTGAAGATGTACAATCATTCTTTCTCCTAGAAGACATACAATCAGAATGAAATACAGGTTCATTTCACATCATAGATTTCTCTTTGCTCTCTCTCTCTCTCTATTATTTTCTTTCACTTTCCCTTACTTTCTCTGAATTCAAAAATCTATCAGATATGGAGGCCACCATCCCTACTGCTGTGTTGACCACCATCCCGGCCCTCCCTTTCGTATGGGGTGTCCTTTTGCATATTATTATCAATGAACTGATTCACAATATATATACAATTGTGGAATATCTTTTCATACACCAGAAGCAATCCTTTTCCTATCTTTTCATACACCTAGAGGATTCCTTTGCCACAACTTCTAGAGCGGGATCAGCAGCTTCACTCCATTTAGATGGCTTATATGTCAGTTTATTTGAATCTTTGGTAACATGAAGAAGATGGTTATATACCTTACTTGAAGAAGGGAGATAATCCCTTGTCAGGAGCTGAGTGCCAGCATTTTCTTAAGAGCTAAGCCAAGTGGAAAATGAAGCCCAATTTTCTTCAAATGCAGGCAATACCATAGTGTAGTAGTTGTATCGTATAATGTTGTCCTTTTTGTTTGTTCAGAGGTGTTGGTGATGTGCAAGTCTTGTTTGCTGCAGTAGTTCTTAACCATCTCAAATTGTTGATTGGCATAATGGATGGAAGGGTTCAAAGTTTTCTGGATTTGAAGCTAGTGTCCGCTAACTTCTATAAGCCAATTTCCCCAAGCTGATTTATCTGAATCAGGAGGTGGGTCATTAATCGGTTAAGTGTAGCCCCTTATCAACGCTGGCCATTTGCTGCTTAATTATTTAGCTGGATGGTGGATGATTTGCCTTACCAGTCACTTGTCAATCTATGCTCTTTAATGCTAGCAGTAAAAGATAAACTCTCTCACAACCTTAGGCTCAGTATTGTAGTTGGACCCATGACACAATAGTTACTTCTACTTGCTTGGCCTCAAAACTCTTATCCGATTTGGTGGCCATATCGCATGACAAGAGCAACATGCAGAATCTGGCTGTATGTCACTGATTTATAGATGCCCACAAAGCTAACTGATTATGCACACAAACCCTAGCAAAGAAAACACTAGTTTACAGCTATGTAGCACCGACTCGACACACGACACGACACTCCGACACGTCAATCCTAAAAAAATATGAATTTCGATACGTTGGGACACGTTTTAATATTAAATAATATTTTTAATTTATAGTGTATATTTCATTTAATATTCAATAATTTAACAAAAAATAAAACTAAACTAAAAATATCCATCAATTTAACCAAAAATTGTGTTTGCTAAAATGTGTTTGCTAAGTTTGAAGCGAGTACCAAGTAAATTAACGAGCATGCAGTCCAAAAAAATAAAATTCATTCATACACGGCATTCATTACTCTTGAGAATTTTTTTGAAAGAAATAGGCTCAATATGTTTACAGTATGTGAAATTTAATTCCTTATCTATATTCTCACTGCAAACTACACACTAAGAAATTTCTCTTGTTCTAGGAACACCCGAGACTTTTTCTTTAAACCAACCTATCTTGGCTGAACTGAAGTGTGAGTAGTTTGAAATACAAAGAGTAATAAATTAAATAGTAACGTGGAACTCTTTTCAGTTTGCAAGAGGTTTTGATGCTGAGAGCATGAAGGCTTTTGAACTAAGGAGCCGTATCCATACTCAAGCAGGTGAAGATAATAATACAGAAACATACTAACATAGAGTGATCATCAAAAGATGTTTTTTTTAAAATTTGTTTACACTAGTATAACTCAGTACCCACATCCTCAAAGAAAAAGGAAACAGTAAAACTCAAAAAAAACAATAAAACTCAAAAAAATAAAATGAGCATGCAATCCAGTAAATAAACAAGCATGTAGTCCAAGAAAATGCCACAGCAGTCATGGAATCTCAATCGAACAAGTTATTACAAAAAAAAAGAAAAGAAGGAATCAAACCAGTAAATAAGAGACCACAGCAAGACAGAGGCGGATGGGAGAGAGAGAGAGAGGGACAATTGAAAAATAGCAGACTAGTGACGGAGGCGAGGCGATAACAAAGAAGGATCCAGACCAGTGAGGTGGAGGCGGATGGCAGAGACAGACGAAGAAAGATAGCAGAGTGAGACGGACGAAGATAAGATGGCAGAGAGAGAGTCAGAGAGTGAGACACGATAGAAAAAAAGAGGCTTAGGTTAAGTTTTTTTTAAATGTTATTTTTTTAAAAAAATTAATTTTATTAATATATTTTAGTTTTTTTAAAAATATAATTTTTTTTAAAAAAATATTATGTTTTTTACGAAAATACCATTTGACCGTGTCGGACACGGTCAAATTCGCGTGTCGAAATGGTCAACGTGTCGAGAAAGTTGACCGCGTGTCGGACACGATACTCCCTATATTTTGAGGTGTCCGTGCTTCCTTGGTTTACAGACTACTAACTCGAACATAATTGGGAAACCAACCGTAAGAACAGGTTCTTGTCAAACCTCAAAATGCAGAATCAGAATTCTTACATCTGAGCATGTAGCAGTTGCGACTAATTGAGTCATATTGGATCTCATAAAGTGTGACACTTTATATCACGTGAGCAGAAAAAATACATTAAAAGAATCTCAAAAGGGTGAAGTATGACAGCGAATTGGGGATTTTAGGGAGATTATTTCGAAAAATGAAAATTTCGGGTTTATGTGAAATCTGAATCAGAGGCTCTTGATGACTTGTTATGATAGAGTTTTGGAAAGGCGATACACTGACATTACTTGTTTGGTTTGCAACTCGTATTACGTTAGGAACAAGTGCAGTAGACACAAGCCTCATCATGTACGAATCCTAACTTAAATAGATAAGCCTATAGCCTAATATATTTTTTAACAAAGTGGAAATATTCTCTGTCTCTGTCTCTCTATCAACTTTTTTTTTGGTATTCAGATTGCTATACTCATGTCTCTTTGTTGTTTCCTAATTTCTACTATATATATACCTAAAAGTTGTCTGGTGAAAGCATATGAATGATTTTCATATTATATCTTTAACACACACACAGATAGATATATATTTTGTCATAATGGAGCTTTCTACTTTGTTTCATACCAAAGTATGCTGCTTATATTCGTGTCAGACATGATTTCTAAATAAACAGGATTTTTGGTCAGAAAACATAATTATAGATATCTTTTATGAAAATTGACATCCATTTTTGTCATGATTTATTCTATAGTGTGTTTTTCTTAAGTAGCTATTGATTTGTCTATGCAGTGCTTTCTCTCACTAGGAAATGTGGTGCATAAACTTTCAAAAGTTTATCTTGATTGGTTTGGACGAGTGAAGCTGATTGGTTGCATCTGGAATCTTGTTTTACTCCATCCTCAAATTGGTCAGGTGATTTTTAGATATTTCGCGTCAAGACTAAATTGCCATGACCCTATGAGGCAGATATAGTCTTAAAAGCACGATAGGTCAAACAGACTTATTGAATAAATAGAAAACATGAACTGATATAGGGTGAAAGATACTGTGATAAGAACCCAACCAATAACATGTTACAAAACACAAATGGAGATTTGAATGAAAACAAAGATTTGTATTACTGCTATAAAACTGATACAAGGAATAGCAAATTGATCGGAAATGGAAAAAATTACAAGCAAAATAAAAATAAAAATAGGATAGTGTAGAACAATTAGAGAGACTTTAATCTCTCCCAAATTCAAGGTCTAAGCTCAATTCCAGATGCCCGTTTCAGCCCTCTCCATCGTTACTTAACCACCTATGTCTCATCTCCCATGCCACTTATTCTGTTAGATTCAATTAAATTAGGTTGCAACTAAGTGACTGAGTCAGCAGCTGGGGCCCACTTTCTCCTCCTTTTATCCTTTTTGTATACTTTCATAGATCGGACCACTTCATTGCCAATTACATGTATTGGAGAATCATTTAATCAGAAAGTTACCCATCCAAATAAGTAGGTAATAGTTATATACCGTGTTCTGGGTTTACACGATAAGTATGGCATGACATTTATATCTTAACACTATCCAACAAGTTGGAACATAAATGTCAATTATACCCAGCTTACAAATATAATTAACCTATTTCCTCTAACAGCCGTGTGTTATCTTCTAGTTGCTCTTCAGTTCTCATATATCCTATAGAGATGTGACTCGACTGAATCTTTTCCCCAAATGAATTGACAATTGACTTCATTGTGCTTTGTTCTCTCTTGAAAGACTGAATTTGATGTAATATGAGGGGCTGCCTGATTATCACACCACAATCACATTATTTTTGAACTACTCAATCCAGTCTCTTCTAACATCCGTATCTATCGAAGATCTCAATTAGATTGTGCCATAGATTCATACTCAGATTCAATACTTGACCTTGCATCAACACTATTTTTTACTTTTCCATCAAATAAGTTTTCACCCAACAAAGACGCAGTACCTTGATCTTTTCCTCCTTTCAGTTGGGAACTAGCCTTGTTTGCATCTAAGAAAGCCTCCACCCTGCTATGTCCATGTTTACTACAAGGAGGCACTTTCTTCAAATAACACAAATGTTCAATACAACTTCCTAATGACCAGTAGAAGATGTGAACTAACTCACTAGGAAACACAATTTTAGGTCATCTATCTGTGAGGTTATGTTTGCCAACAACATCCACTATATGTCTTGATCTGTTACCGATTCTCCATTATCTGGCTTGAGCTTAGAATTTGAAACCTTTGACATATTATATGACTCGCACCCAAGTAGGCCAATCTCGGTCAAGAGATCAAGAATGTGCTTTCTTTGGGACAAAAATAATTCCTTTGTTTTGTGCTTCTTTCGCACCAAATCTTTAGTTTTAAGATACCGCTTAAAGTGCCCTCATTTGTCTTTTCCAAGCCCTAGTTGTCACTAAGGGCTCGTTTGGTGGACAGGACAGGATAAGGGTAGGATATGATATGGGGCTGATAAGGATAGGATATGATATGGGGCTGATAAGCCGATATCATGTCCTATGTTTGATGAGCACCTGATTAGCAATCTGATAAGATTATGTAGAAGGAGAAAGGAGAGAGAAAAAACAAAATATAATGCAATAAATATAAATATATTGGGTAGCGTAGGGATATATTGGGTATACAATATTGGTATCCTATCCTATTGAATCCTAACCCAGCTCCCCCCATAGGATAAGAAATCATGTATTTGATAGGATAAAATGAGACAGTAGGATAAGCTAATCATATCCTATTGACCCACCAAACAAGAGATAAAAGTAAGATATGATAAGTTATCCTATTCTATCTTTTTTATCAGGTGCTCCAAACAGGCCCTAAATGTTCTATCAATTAGATATCAAAAATGCCTTTTTACATGACAATTTATCGAAGTCTGAGGAAGCTTATATGGATCGACCCCTTAGATTTATTGCTTATAGGAACTCTTAGTTGGTGTGGCAATTTAGCAAATCATGGTGTAGTGAGAAATAGTCATCCCAAGCTTGGTTTAAACGCTTTAGGGCAATTTTCCAATAATTTAGCATGACTCGTAGTGAAGCCAATCATTATGTTTTCTATCAGTATTATTATCCTGACAAATGCATATATCTTGTTTATATGGATGAACTTGTCATTATTGGTAGTTATTGAGTTGGGATCAAACTACTAAAACCACACTTATTCAAATATTTTTGGACTAAAGATATTGCAAAGCTATGATATTTCTTACGTGTTAAGGTGACAGTTTAGACATGACATCTCTGTCTCTCAGAGAAAAGCTTCAAGTATCTTAGAAGGAACTGACATGCTAGGGTGCAGACCCATTAACATGCCTATGGATCCTAATATCAAACCTCTACTAGGATAGTTGGAGTCTTGTTAGGAAGTTAATTTTCTCACAGTAATGTATAGGCTAACTATACTCATATAATTACAAAAATTATGATGTCTAACATAAAAAAGTAATAATTAAGATATCTATAATTTTTGTATTTATTACATTTTATTTATGTAATTAACTGTCCAATGTGTTGTTCAACACATGAATTCCCTTATATTTCTTTCATTTTCTTCCTTTAACATATTATCTAGAGCCTGATGAGAGGCCACTCTCTATTGTGTGTACCTTGTGGACCTATTGCTCACGATTAAAGTCTTCTCCCAATAAATCGTGTTTTACTCCATTTTTTGACCTTACTCTGTTGTGATGTCTTTATGATTGCATCTTTGGACTCTGTTTGCCGATGGTCTACTTAGATTTGGACTGTCTTCTACAGCTTGGCCCATCCTTGGTTGTTCGTGCCTAATGGCTGCCACACAATCTCTGATACGTGTTTCTCTTTCTCTGTCGCACTCTTTAGACACTGGTGGTGGCATGTTGCGTAACTCTCATATCCTCATATCTGCCTTTCTCACCCTGAATTGACCCTTTTTGGGTTGTCTCTCATCTTCTTTGCTACCTAGTGTGACTAATGGTTGGATTTGCCTTCTATGAAGACTTTAAGGACACCCAGACGTCTGTAACCCCTATTTTTACTTACTATGTCAGGGCCCCTCTCCATTGACAAGCTGGATGGAAGCAATTATGATACCTTGGATTCGAATTTTGGCTTATCAAGTAGGACTATGTGATCTACATTCTTACCAAGATTTCATGTCTTTTGTTGAGCTCTCGATCATCAAAATCCAACACTTACTCCTCTTTGAAACCATTTTTTCGCACCCGTCACTTGCGAATTGGTTTGTGAGCATGCCAAGGTTCTTTATATTGATGAGACTCAATGTCTTTATGAGTTTTGCGACATTATCTGAAGAATGTCATTTCCCCTCGGAAGTTTGAAAGTCCCATTGCTTATTTGGGGAATCTTCTTGGAGCTCTCCATGATTTTATCACTTTTACCTTTTGTTGAGAGACCGTTGAAGGAAATTGAGCAACAAAGGTCATGTTGTTCCTTTGTTATAAATATTAGGGTGTATATTTGTAATTTATTCATATTCTGATTTGATTAGGTAGATTAGTTTCCTTATTTGTTAGCCCTTTTTTTTTGTAAATATTAGAATTATTATTGTAATTATTAGAATTATTTCATTATTTTGTAATAGTTAGAATATTCTAGAAGTGTGGTGAGCACAGAGCGAACTATTCTTTCGCCTTTTACTAAAGAATACTCTAGAAGTTTATTTGGGCTTAGCCCATTAAGTTTTTGTAGTCTCTTTAAATACATAATTCTTGTACAGTTATTGATACAAATTTTATAATATACAAGTCCTTCTTTCAATTTGGTATCAGAGCTCTCGATTCTGAGGGCTTTGCTTCCGCAAACCTTGTTTGGCTCTCACTGCATCGAAAATTTTTTTTGGGTACCTTTTTGACCGAGAGGACTACTACTGCACTCTTTTTTACTCAGATCTATCATTCTACGGAAGTTTCCCTTTCTCCGGACGACCAACACAGCTTCAAAATGACTAGACAACACTGTTCCGGCGACTTTTTGACTACAACCAGTCTTAGACAGGTTTGCGCTCGCCGAACGACCTCGCTGTGAAAATCCCAGTTCCGACAGACCTCACACGCGCTCCTACAGCCACCAGTCATTCTGCGTGTGATACCTTCACGCATACAGCTTCATCGGCGCGTGACAGTGACTTTCCGTCTCGAACCACTTGGGTTCTGATCGCCTCTTCTTTCTCTTTCGGGATCGTTGCTCATTTTTAAATACGACTTCATTTGATCGTCTTGTTTTTCAAAAGGGGCTTGTTTGGATCTTTTTAAAGTTTTCTGATTTGTTTGGTCGGGTCAGATTCAAAAGGGTGCTGATGGTTCTGATTTTTTTGTGTTTTAGCAAGCATTATGTCAGACATTGAAGACACTTCAACCAATCAACCATCTCTTACACGCTTTATGGCTTCTCTTTCTCCAAATGATCTTCCTGCTGCATCAAAATTACCGTCTTAATGGAAAAAATTATTTATTTTGGTCCCAGCTTGTTCATATGATCTTCAAAGTGCGTTGTAAGATTGCTCATCTTGAAGGACCTGTTCCTGCAAAAAAAGATCCAAAATTTGCTAATTGGGATGATGAAGACTATTATTATGACGTGGCTATGGAACTCTATGACTCGAGGTTAGTCAACATTGCATGTTCCTGCCTACTGCTCTTGAGATCTGGGATGTTCTTAAGAATACTTATTCATTGAAGCTATATGTAGCAACCTACTATGATTTGAGGGATAGGATTTTTTCTGCCAAGCAGGGCTCCCTTTTTGTAATAGAATATTATGGCATTATGAATGAATTGTGGACTGAGCTTTATCAGTACCAGAGTTTGAAGATGGAGTGTAGTAAGGATTCAGCCATTCTGGCCACCTCCATTGAAAACAATCAGATCTTTGATTTTCCTTTTGGCTTCAACTCCGAATATGACTCTATTCGGGTTCAAAATCTTGGTAATGAAAAATTACCTTATCTTCTTGAAGTTCTTTATACTGTTAGGGGTGAAGAAGGTCGCAGGGCTGTCATGATGGAGTCAAAGTTGTATGAAGGATCTGTCATGCTCTCTACTCTAACTCCTTATGTTTCTAAGTCCATTGACGGATCTTTTATGATCTCGGCTAAGCCACCTTTGGTGTCCTTTTCTTCTAGGCCTAGCTAAGAGTGGCGTTGGTGCAACTATTGTAAAAGACCAATTCACCCATAGGAGGTTTGCCACTATCTTTACGGAAAACAACAGGTTTTGGAGAAGCTTGGTAAGACAACCTCACGTGATCAATCCTTTTTAGCCTCCTCAAACATTCCTTCTGTAAATAAGACCTCATAGATTCCTGGTGAATTTATTACTATTCGTCGTGAGGAATTGGAACGACTGAGGTCCTTATTTGAATCTTTTAATAAGCCCTCTGGTACTGGTACTTTGTCTTCCTCGGTTATGCTCCCAACAAGAAAGGATATAAATGTTACCACCGTCCAAGTCGTAGATTCTTTCTCTCTATGGATGTTAGCTTCCATGAATCTGAATCCTACTTTCTACATCCTCAGCTTCAGGGGGAGAACTATATAGAAGCTTCATCCATTTTCTTTGAGTCTGAGTCTTCTTGAGTCTCCCTTTCCGTTACCTACATCTCCTACCCCAAATGAGAAGGAAGACTTAGTTGCTGAGGATGAAAATTCATTTGATTCCTTATGTGATATGCCTCCTAGCGATCGACAGAAAGTACGCAAAGCTGGGACCCCCAAACTATTGTACCAAAGGAAGAAACAACCCGCACTGCTCCACCAGCAACTGCAATCGCCTGAACCGCTGGTAAGTACTGAATATACTAATTCTATTATTCTTGAGCCTGATATTAATTCTGATGACTTACCCATTGTTGTAAGGAAAGGGAAAAAGTCTTGTACCCAACACCCAATTTCTCATTTTGTCTCCTCTAAGAATCTCTCTATGCAGCATAGAAGCTTTATTATAGCTCTTGACTCCGTTTCAATCCTGAAATCAGTACATGAGGCATTGAAGGATGATAATTGGGTCCTTGCCATTCATGATGAGATGAATGCATTGGAGAAGAATAATACATGGGAAGTTGTTGACAGGCCAAATGGAAAAGAGCAGTAGGGTGCAGATGAGTGTATACTCCGAAGTATAATTCTGATGAGACTTTTGAGAGGTATAAAGCTCGACTGGTAGCCAAGGGGTACACACAGACCTATGGCATTGATTACGAAGAAACATTTACTCCAGTGGCCAAAATGAACACTGTAAGAGTTCTATTGTCTCTCGTTGCTCATTTTAATTGGGATTTGAAACAATTTGATGTGAAAAATGCCTTTCTCAATGGCGAATTAGAAGAGGAGGTTTACAGGTAGATCCCACTAGGATTTAACTCTACAAATGAAGATAATAAAGTTTGCAGGTTAAAGGAAGCGTTGTATGGTGAGATAGACTTGAAGCAATTCCCTCGTTCTTGGTTTGGAAGATTTACCAAAGTTATGCTTTCATTGGGATACAAGCAAAGTCAAGGAGATCATACACTTTTCTTAAACATTCTCAGGAAGGTAAGACCTCTATCCTTTTAGTTTATGTTGACGACATTATTATACCAGTGGATGATATAGGTGAGAAATGTGCTCTGCAAAAAAGACTGACTGCTGAATTTGAAGTTAAAGATCTTGGAAAACTGAGATATTTCTTGGGATAGAAGTTGCTCATTCAAAGAAAGGGATATTTATTTGTCAACGGAAGTGTGTTCTTGACCTCCTTAAAGCAGCAGGAAAACTTGGGTGTAAACCTTCTAGTACTCTGATTGAGCAGAATCACAGACTAGGAAGTGAAACTGAGAGCCCTCCAGTTGACAAAGGAAAATATCAATGAATAGTAGGAAGATGATATATTTAGCTCATGCTAGACCTGATTAGCTTATGCAGTTAGTGTTGTTAGTCAATTCATGCATGATTCGAGGGAGAAACACTTGCGAGTTGTGGACAAGATTCTTCAATATCTGAAAGGCACATCAGGCAGAGGGCTATTGTTGCAGAGAGAAGGAAATATATACTTAGAAGTTTATACAGAAGCCGATTATGCTGGATCCGTGACTGATTGACGGTCTACTTCTGGCTATTGTGTGTTTCTCTGTGGAAATCTAATAACATGGAGAAATAAAAAGCAAAATGTGGTTGCTAGAGCAACTGCAGACGCAGAATTTCGAGCCATGGCTCACGGTATCTATTAGTTATTATGGCTGAAAATGATTCTTGATGATCTCGAGGTGAGATATGAAGGATCTATGAAGTTACTTTGTGATAACAAGTCAGCTATCTGTATAGCCCACAATCCAGTTCAACACAATCGAACCAAACATATTGAGATTGATTTCTACTTCAGTAAAGAGAAACTAGACAGTGGACTGGTCATTACTCCATATATTCCTTCTGGTCGTCAATTGGTTGATGTTTTAATTAAGGGTCTTCCTAATGATAGATTTCAAGAATTTACTAACAAGCTGGGAATGAGAAATATTTATTCCTCAGCCTTGAGGGGGAGTATTCTAAATATTAGAATTATTATTGTAATTATTAGAGTTATTTCATTATTTTGTAGTAGTTAGAATACTCTAGAAGATTATTTGGGCTTAACCCATTAGGTTTTTTTAGTCTCTTTAAATTCTATAATATAAAAATCCTTCTTTCAATTCCCTTAATTTAGGGGATCTATTATCCTCCTAACTTTACTCTCTATAATAATGAATTTCGTTGCCTATGAAGTTGTGGGCTCTTTGTAAAGTGCTCTATTTCTTTCTAGCTCTGTATTTCTCCCTGTTTTACCATTACAACTTTCGAAATCAACTTGTATTATTTCTGACTTTAATGCTTGTCAATACCTTATTTATTCTTTTTTGGCAGACAATGATAGAACGGTTACTTTCGATGCTCAAAGATACTGACTACCGAGTTCGATTATTTCTAGCAAGGAGAATTGGTGTTCTTTTCCAAACATGGGATGATCATGAAGAGCTATTTCAGGACATTTGGTATGTTGCACTTTAAATGATCTCAGCTAGTTAAATTATAATGTTAGCCATGGCAATATTTTTAATGAAATAGGTTTTTTCACAAATTGATGTTTCCGTTACTTGAATATGAAAAGAATATGTTTTGTATTAATCTGATACAAAGAGTTGCAATATATAGAGACCCTAATGGGCTTAAGTGAGAAGCTCAGAACTAATCCCAAAGAATATTTACAGATATGATATATGTAGCGCAGCTTGATTATCACAAATGAGTGTCATGTGTTGTTTCTGTTCACAAAGATGAAGCTCCTGAATCAACTGCTTTAACCAGATTAACTCACATGTAGTAATTGCCATTGCACGATACTCAGCTTCTGCACTAGATCGAGCAACAACAGGTTTTTTCTTGCTCTTCCAAGAAGTTAAGTTTCCTCCAAAGAAGACACAATAGCCAGAAATAGAGCGCCTGTCTGAGGGTGATCCTGCCCAATCAGCATCTGAATAACCACAAATTTCTGTATTTCTCTAATCCGAATACAACAAACCTTTTCCTAGTCCTCCTTTGATGTACCGGAGGATCCTCACAGCAGCATCTCAATGAGAATCACAAGGGGAATCAAGGAACTGATTAGCCGTACTAACAGCGAAAGAAATGTCTGGCTAGTCACAGTAAGATAATTGAGCTTCCCAATTAGCCTCCGATAACGACCAGGATTAGATAACGGCTCCCCCTGTCCGGGCAATAACTTGTCATTGGGATCCATGGGTGTATCAATTGGTTTACACCCCAACATACCAGTCTCTTCTAGGATATCCAAGGCATACTTCCTTTGACAGATAGAAATGCTCTGTCTAGATTGTGTTACCTCAATTCCCAAGAAGTAACGCAGCTTCCCGAGGTCCTTTGTTTGAAATTGACTGAATAAATACTGTTTTAACTGACGAATTCCAGCTTGATCACTCGCGGTGAGAATGATGTCATCAACATAGAGTAACAAATAGATGCACTTATCAGGAGATGTGATCCTATAAAATACAGAATGGTCAACTTTACTGCGAATTAAGCCAAACGCCTGAACAGCAGAACTGAAGCGACTGAACCATGCCCGAGGAGACTGCTTGAGACCATATAAGGATTTGCGAAGACGACACACCTTCCCAGACTCCCTCTGAGCAACAAAACCAGGTGGTTGCTCCATATAAACTTCTTCTTGTAAATCACCATGAAGAAAGGCATTTTTGATGTCAAGTTGAAGGAGTGGCCAGTGACGAACAACAGCAAGAGCAAGAAATAGGCGAACTGACGCCATCTTAGCGACCGGAGAGAATGTATCGCTATAATCAAGGCCGAAGATTTGAGTAAAACCCTTTGCAACTAGGCGTGCCTTGAGTCGATCAACATGGGCATCGGGTCCAACTTTCACAGTAAAAATCCAGCGACAACCAACTATAGACTTCTCTGGAAGAGCAGAAACAAGGTCCCAAGTGCCATTGAAATGAAATGCAGTCATCTCATCAAGCATCGCTTGGCGCCACCCTGGATGGGAAAGTGCTTCACCTGTGGTCTTAGGTATAGAAACAGAAGAAAGACTAGAAACAAATGTGAAATGAGGTGGAGAAAGACGATCATAGCTCAAAAAGGTACAAAGAGGATAAGGGTTACGAGTAGTACGTGTACCTTTTCGTTTAGGAAGAGTCTCTGGTGAAGGAGCCGGATGGGAAGAATCAACAGTAGTGAGCGATGAGTCAGCAAGAGTCGAGTCGACAGGAGGCACAGTTTTGCGACGCTGATAGGTGAGAAGTGGACAGTCCTCAGGTATGGAAGCAATAGGTTGCTCATCTAGAATAGAAGCACCTGCAGCTGTCAAAGACAAGTCAAGAAAAGGAACGGGAAGAACATGATCAACCTGTGACATCTGAGATGGGATAGAATTAAAGGGATATTGATCAAGAAAAGTGATATCAGCGGAAACAAAGTAACACTTAAGATCGGGAGAATAACAACGATAAGACGAGAATAACCAAGAAAAATACATTTAAAGGCTTTGGATGTTAATTTGTCCTTACAAGGAGTGAGATCATGAACAAAACAGGTACAACCAAAGACATGTGGGGATAGAGGATAGAGAGGAACATCTGGAAGCAATAAGTTATAAGGAATGTCATTATTATGCACAGATGAAGGCATACAATTGATGAGAAAACAAGAGGCAAGGACTGCATCGGCCCAGAAGTGAAGAGGAACATGCATGTGAATAAGAAGAGTTCGTGCAGTCTCAATGAGATGTCTATTTTTACGTTCAGCTACTCCATTTTGTTGTGCAGTGTGAGGACAAGTAGTTTGGTGTAAAGTACCCTGTGTGGCTAAGAAATTAGAAAAGTCAACAGAAACATAATCCTTAGCATTATCACTACGTAAAATATGAATAGAAGCACCAAATTGAGTATAAATTTCAGTAGAAAATTTTTGATAAATAGAAAATAAATCAGAACGGTTTTTCATTAAATAAATCCAAGTACAACGTGAAAAATCATCAATAAAGGTAACAAAATACCGAAAACCTAAAACAGACACACTATGACTAGGACCCCAAATATCTGAATGAATAATTGAAAAAGGAGCATCAGCTCGTTTATTGACTCGATTAGCAAAGGAGGAGCGTATGTGCTTTCCTTGCTGACATGACTGACAATCTAAAGCCTGAAGACCGGATAAAAGAGGAACCATCTTCTGCAATTTTGAAAGATTAGGATGCCCGAGGCGACTGTGGATGAGTTGTGGAGATTCTGTTAGAGAACAAGCAACTGAAGGACTCGGCACAACCAGGTAGAACATATCCCGTGACTCACGACCCACTCCAATCGTCTTCCCCGTACCCGGATCTTGCACAAAAACAGAATAGTTTGAGAATGTGACAATACAGTTAAAAGAGTTGATCAATTTACTAACAGATATTAAATTATAAGAGATGTCTGGAATGTAATAGACAGATGTCAAGGTCAATGAGGAAGTTGGACAGATTTGTCCAATCCCATGAACAGGGGCCTTAGTGCCATCAACAAGAATAAAAGAGGGTAAATTATCAGAATATGTAAGGGATGAAAAGAGTTCCTTATTACCACAGAGGTGATCAGTAGCACCTGAGTCAAATATCCAAGGACCAAGTGATGCAAAATGAGAAACACAAGAAACGGGATTACCAGTTTCTGAAGCTGAGGCCTGAGACTGAGGTGAGGCCTTCCTGAGAAGGGTCTGGAGTGCTGCTTAGTCTTCAGAGGAGAGAGACTGTACCATTTTAAGCAGTATCTGATTGAGCTATATTAGCAGCATGCATGGTTGTCAAACTCGAGATTCTATGCAAACTCGGAAGGTCAACCAAAATCGTAAATCGCAGAATCGTAACACGGATCGTAGACTCGTAACACAAGATACAAATTATATTTATATATATTTATATGCATATAAAGTAATATAATAAGCAAATTTAATTCAACCAACTAGCAAAATAATGTCATATAATAGTCATAATCACATAATGTCTCAGACACATAAAGTCATAGCACAAAAGATCAAAATCCAAAACAATATATCAATCAAATCTCAAAGCAATGATGGAATGTCATAATCATCCTCCGCCCCATCATCTTCATCACCATCTTCATCATCATCTTCATCTCCATCATCTTGCATAATGTCTTCTCTACCTTCCCCACCAAGTTCAGAACCACCATCATCTTCACCATAATCTTCAAGTTTACGGTTTATCACACAGAACAGAAGCCAATCAAAATTAATTTGTTTTTGTTATAAAAAAAAAATTAATTTGTTTTATAAAAGAAAATGATTTTACTTTATAAAATAAAATGATTTTGTTTTATAAAATAAAATAAACTGATTTTGTTTTATATAATAAAATAAACTGATTTTGTTTTATAAAATAAAATAAAATGATTTATAAATAAAACAAATAAAACTAAGAAGACGGTAGAAGAGATCGAGACAACAGAGGCGAGCTCCAGACAAAAAAAAAACAAAGAGGAGATTGAGAATTTGAGACAGAGCAGAGCAGAGAGCACTAACCGGTGAGGGATGACCGGGAAGATGGTGGCTTGAAGCACGACAGCGAAGCAGAAGACGGTGGCTTGAAGCACGCGGAGAAGCAGAAGACGAATCAGTACATGCAAGGGAGGGACGACCGGAGAAGATGGTGGCATGAAGCGTCTTCGTGAGTCGTGACTTTCTCTCCCGCGATCTGCAGCGGTGGTGGCTCAGGTTCTAGGTTTTTTTTTAGCTAAAAAAACCTATTTATATAATGGTTTTCCGGGTCCAATATTCGGGTCACGGGTCTTCTCTCTTTTGGTGAAATCGTTGAACTCGGACGATTATACGAGTTTGCCAAAAAAACTCGACGCTTCTACCATTTGAGGAATAAAAGCGAGTAAAGGCAGATCGTGACTCGTAACAGTGTTGCTGAAGCGTAAACTCGTTCGATTATACGAGTAAACGCGCGAGTTTGACAACCATGGCAGCATGAGAAGGTCGCAGGTGAGGATACTTTGTGTAGCAACGTTCCTCAAAATGACCAAGTTGCTGACAATAATGACAACGAGGTCGCTGACCACGTCCTCCCTGCCCTCTACCATGACCACGTCCACCTCCAATGTTCCCGCGAAAGTCAGTACGGGAAACTAGAGCAGTGGAATCAACAACAGCAGACGATGCAGGAGCAGATTTCTTATTAAGATTCAGAAGATGCTGATACGTCATTGATAGATCAGGATCCCCACTAGTCAAGATAGTATCCCGGACATTATCATATTCTTCGGGGAGACCAAAAAGTGTGGCAACCATAAAGAGACGTTCCACCTGTTTTCGATATGCAGAAGAATCAGTAGGGTGGGGCAACATATCCAAATATGCTTGCATCAAAGATCGACTTTTGCCAACATATGTCTCCATATGAGTGTCAGATGATTTGCGCAGATCCATAAACTGAGACATGATGGAATAGAGCTACTAAACATCGTTAGTGTAGAGGTGTTTTGTTTCCTCCCACACTTAAGTGCAAGTTTGAAAAAAATAGAAGATGTCCAAGACGACTGGATCAATAGACTGCCAAAGGATACTCAGAAGCTGGTTGTCAATCCTTTTCCAATCAGATTCTTCCTCCTTAGGAATATCAGTAGATTTAGTCGTGAGATGGTTCCTATGTCCCTGTCCAAAGAACCAAACTCGAACAGAGGTGGCCCAGCTCTTGTGATTATCAGAACCCTTCATCTTTGAAGAGGTAATGGGCCCAATATTGGTAGAGATGATATTAGGAGAACTTTTGACAGGACGAGAGGGAGAATTAACCTCCAAATGAACAGGTGAAGTTGCTGCCATTATATTAAATCACAAGGGTATAAACCGAGTAAATAGGAACGAACCTGATCACAAATCAAGAAGAGGCGCGCACAAAAAGTGAGACCCACAAAGACCCGATCACAGATCTGGAAAGGGGAGGAGAGGACGAGCTTTTCTGTCCAAGAACGGCTGGAAAATTCCACTGGAACAGTGCACACGCGCCGGTAGAAGGTGGTGCGTGAGCACCTCGCGCAGAGGGGAAAGACCGCGCGTGACGGTTGTGATGGTGGTTCGAAAACTCGCAGGAAAACTTCTCCGGCGGCCTGAACAGTGCTGGACTGCGGTTCCGGTGGCTGTCGGAGGTGCTGACGTGTTGAGAAATTATTCTAAAGGAGCTTACAGCCCTGTATGGCTTGCCGGAAGGACGCACGACAAAGAAAAGAAAATTCCTAAGCAGTGGGCTTAGGTTTTAGAGCGAGAACGAAGTTTTAAGCGAAAGCGAGGGTCTCCTGAACAAAAGAGCTCTGGTACCAACTTGAATATGAAAATAATATGTTTTATATTAATCTGATACAAAAAGTTACAATATATAGAGACCCTAATAGGCTTAAGTGAGAAGCCCAGAACTAATCCAAAAGAATACTTACAGATAGGAAGTAATCTATTCAAATCTAATCATATCTATCCTAACAACCAATTCAACTCAAAAGCTTAAGCTAATGGGTGAGGCTACATTAATACGCCCCCTTACATGAGAGCCTATTGGGCTTGAAGAGTGGACAATGCACAGGCCTACCTACCTATGCTAAGAAATTCCACAAGAGAAAGTGGGGGACGGTGAGGATCGAACCTGGGACACGAGGCTCTGATACCATGTAAAGAACCAATTCAACCCAAAAGCTTAAGCTAATGGGTGAGGCTACATCAATTATTTATTTTCACTTTCGTGTTTGTGTAGGTTGTGGTCACCTGTTGAACCTCTAATTAGTTACCCCACTCTCCCCACCACAAAATTTTCATAAACGGATATTCATTGTCATTCTTTGGCTTTGGTTACTTTTCCAGTTTAAATTTTGGTGTTCAATTGGTGGTTTATTCGAAAGGAAAAGTTGTCAATGCAAAGGAGGTATTAGCTGCTGGTCCTCAGCCTCAACCTATAATGGAAACAGTTGTGATTACTCTTATGCATCTTGCCTTACATAGTGAGAAGATTGAATTGCAGGTAAACTATTGATTGTGACATTTGCTTTTCTATTTTTTATCCCTCCATCCCTCATGCTGGATCATGTCTAAATTCATTCTGGTTTATGTCACAAAATGTTCTGGATTTCCTTGTATTTTGCTGTGCCCTCCATTTCATTTCTGATTCTCTATTATATGCTTAACTCTTTGGGAGGATCTGATTCATTTTGTTATTTGGAAATATATTCATATGCATTATAAAGAGCCCTTTAGTTATTTGGTGATTCTTGGTGGCATGCAGGCTGTTTTCATGATCTGTGTGGTTTCTGCCATTGATCCTTGTCATAGGTAAAAATATTTTTCCTTATCATTTTAAAACCTTCGCTTTAGTTTCTTATTCCAGCAGTGTTTTTCAGGGAATTGATCTGCACTGTACTTGACAATCTTTCTGGAGAGCTTCAATATATGACTAGAATGAAGGTAATCAATGTCTGTCTTATATCTAATTTTGTATTTATCTAACCTTGTGCAGTGACTCTAGTAGAGATTGTAGTTGCCTTTGCGAGGCCCCTGTTCTCGCAGTTTGGTTCTTTTGTGACATGGGCTTGAAAAATGTTCAGACTTGATACAAATTGTTTGATTGTATTTTGATTTTTTTGTTTTGAAAACTATTTTGTAAAATAGTTTTTAAGAACTGATTTTCAGAATAAAAGAAAAAAAAATCTGTTTGATAAACTTATTTTGAAGAGTTTTAAAGTTAAAAACAAAAACATTTGCTTGATAATTTTGTTCTAAAAATATGTTTTTAGAGTAAAAAAAATTGAAAACTTGCTTGATTGGTAAAATTTTTCTTCTTAAATTTATTTAATGATTTCTTTTTTTAAGAATAACATGTTATTATTATTTTTTTATGCATATATTCTTTATAACATTTAAAAGCTTTTGCTTTTAATTTATATTTTTAAATTAATATATGGAGGAAGATTATTTTTATAACCTTTTTTTTTTACAACCTCTTACAACCATATATCATAACCGTTGATTTCCGCCAATCAACGGTTATCATTTATTATAAATTAATAATTAATTAATGAGTTTAATTTGCGAAAATCATAACCGTTGATTGGCTACTATCTATTGTTCTTCAGTTGGCATGGCACCATCTCTGCTTGTTCTTCAATCTGGATTATTTGTCCGAGTATCCCCTCCCTACCCGGGTAAATAATTCAAATATTTTTCCATATTCAAGAAATATATCCGAGTATCCCCCTCCTTATCCGGGTAGATAAAAAATAATTAACGGTTATGATATATGGTTGTAAGAGATTGTAAAAAAAAAAGGTTGTAAGTATAACTTCTCTCTAATATATGTATGCTTTTTTTTCATAAATCAATATTTTTTATCTTATTTTTTGTGTTCCTTAATATATATATATATATATATATATATATATATATATATATATATATATATATATATATATTCATTGAGCGGTGAGGTTTCTGGAAGTTGTCTATTAATTTGTTAGATGTCAACCAGCCGCATTGCATAGGGTTCTGCACTTTTCCTCTACTCTTTGCCTTATCTAGGGCATGATCCAGAATCATTGGCGTGATCACTCAATCATAATGAAGCTTCGCTTTCTCATTCACGTGTTCCTGGTGGATCTTCCACGACGAAACAAACCTCTGTTCCTTCTTCAAATGCGAAGCAGAGCAAGTCAGGAAAAGTTTGGGTCCCGAAAAAGTTTTTCCATGTTCCACTATCAAACTCTAGTATTATGGGTTTAACTGATAATTACAAGTTTGCCATTAATGAAAACAGTTGTCCGTGTTTTCCTTGTTTCCAGAATTAAGAACAAAAAATCAAAACAAAAACATCTAATTGATGTTCTCCATTTCCTGTTTTAAAAACTGAAAAAGGGATGCTGTTTTTAGAACTATTTTTAAGGAACACTCGTTATCAAACAACTATTTTTGTGTTTTTTGTTTTTAAAATTGATTTTTTTTTTCTGTAAAACGGAAATCAAACATGTCCTAAATTTCTCCTTTTTTTTTTTTTCGTATAGAAAATAATTTATAATTAGGCGAAAATTTAGTTGTATTTTATTTTTTTTGTTAGAAGAACAAATTTTGTTCGAGAATGAAGAACTGTATTTCAACTAGGGAGAGGAAAAATATATTCTCTGAAATGGAAAAAAAAAAAAGGAGAAATAAAGAATCAAGATTGTAGCAAAAACAAAGCTCTCTAGTCTATGTGCATATCATAGACGGACACTCACTTGAAACAGTAATGAGCTAAACACTAGCGAGAAACAATAAATGCATTTCTATTTTCTATACCGAAGTCCTTAAAGTTGAGAGCATTTACGCCAATAATATTGCTAAAGAGGTGCAAAATCCCCACATTTTTTCTTCCTAAATTATGGGAAATTGCTGTAGGTTTAAAGGGCCCACATAATACAAATTATTCAATGAAAGGTAGCCAAATTTAGATTGACAATTTTAATTATAGGACTAAATGACCTTTTCAACTATTCTCTCATACTATCTCCAACAATTACTTGAGTTACATGCTTTAAAGCTACATTCACATTCTAGTTCTGAGTTTGGTTCTTCCAAAAATTATTTCGTTATACATTTAAGGCTTATAAGTACTTAACACGTTTCTTTTGACTTACAAATTTCTTTTATGCAGTACTTAGAGGAGCTTTTGGGACCAATTCTCTTTTGTTGGGTAGCCTGTGGCGTAAGCTTAGTTGCACTTGTTGAGGTAATGGGTTCCTTATGTTTGGTATAATCTATTTAACAAATACTGAATTACTGCAAGGTAACAGCTTGGCTTTGCCTTAAGAACAACACCACAAAGCTTGTCAGTTGAAAGGGTAGTGTGTGCTACCTATTTATCAGATATTAACATGCTGGGGTGATATTTTAAATTCTCAGTGCTACCTATTTATCAGATATTAACATGCTGGGGTGATATTTTAAATTCTATCTGTGAATAGAAAACAAATGATTTTGGTGGGTTTTACATTCTCAATATATATGTACATAAGCCTTAACGAAACAACTTAAGCTCTTAGGAGAGATAATTGTTGCCATAGTATCAGGGCCTTTATGATTTATTGGTAGAGTTTGATACTTGTTACCCCGTTCTTCTAATAGAAAGTTAAATTGTAACGTGATAAAAATAGGGCTATGCATTGTCCGCGCTTAAAGCCTATATGTTTTTGTATGAAGGGGTGTATTAGATATTTGATAAATCATTCACGTGCCTTCAGCTAACTCTGTTAGAATTTAGGAGAGTTGGTCCTTGAGAGATATATTGGTTGACGTTTAGAATGGAGAACTCTTGTGCAAGTGTACACATTTGACAAGTAATATAGGGATATAGGGATAGAGTAGGGGTTTTCGTTCCCTCTGAGACAATTTTAGATGTGTAACCTATTAATGTACAAATACAATTGCATTCCTCTTTGAATTTCCATGTACTAATTGCTTGTTGTGTATCCAAAACTTACTTAAAAGAACTGGCAGAAGTCAAAACTACAGAATTAACTCAACACCAGTTAAAACTAAATCAAGCTTAACAGAGTAAGGATGTACGATTATAACTGCACTAGATGTGACTTCTCTGTGTTACTATCATCAACATCAACAACACCTTTATCCCAAATTAATTGGGGTCGGTGGTAGATGAACCCAAATGAAAGATACCAAAAGGTTGAAAAAAAGAAACATAAAAGTAAAAATAAAAATAAATAAATAGAATAGTAATAAAAAATATATATATATATAAATATAAAAGTAAAAAAGAAAGGGAAAAGAAGAAGAGGGGGAAAAGACTAAAATGGGACCATATGGAACATAGGAATAACAACGGGTCTAACCCTCCACCATGCTTATAGCTTTTCTCCATTCCGTTCTAAGGCATACCGTCCGCTAATCTATATCCCACTCCATTAAATCTTGTTTTACTACCTTCCTTCAAGTAAGTTTCGGTCTGCCTCTACCTCTGACTGTGTTGAGCTCTTGGTAACAAACTTCTGTTCTTACTTCTCTGTGTTACTATGATCTCTCAAAATACAGGACATACTATGACAGTTCCCTTGACTGAACAAACCTGCTACAGCGCTTTTGTATCTCCAATACAATGCTTTGCTTGATATTAAAATAACATACTCCTATATTATTTTAACTCATGCACTTTTTAGAACAGAGGTAAAATGAACAAGTGGTACACAATTATTCCTAATTGTGAGTGTAACTAATTTGCTAATTAATTACTCCACTTTGCACCATGATAGTTCCAGAGTTAATAATATCCCACTTATCACTCCTAATTTTCTGATTAATGTTGGCCAGACATCCACCAAACTTATTCAATTGAATCTTAAAAGTGCAAATCAAGAAAAACTGTTTAGCATATCCTAATATTTATCAATAACACAAATCAACAAAGTTCCATCACATCATGATCAACAAAGAGATTTAGCTCATATTGAGCCTAAATTTTTTCCTAACAGCTCAGAAGAAGCAAAACATTTTGCTTAACAAGAAATGAAGTTCCACAGTACCTTAAACTCCAGTTATGCAGATTCAGATTACAATCAATTACGGAGAATAAAAGAAAATACTAGATTACATGAATCTGTCAAATCCTTATGCAGAATTGTAAATCAACAACGAGAACCCTTCACTGCTACACTTCAAGTTCAGATCTGAAGTAAGAGTTGAAGTTGCAGAAGAGAAATGGTGAAGGAGAGAGAAAATGTCCTAATAGTTACAAATTTCTAAAACATGTGAAAAGTAAAAGTCCCCTTCTGTCATGCTTTCTATTCTTTTTATACCCTCCTAGTGCTTGTCTCCTTGAACACATCCTAGCCATCCATCTTTACTCATTTCCACGGTCATTAGGATCTTTGGAGGCCACTTGTGAAGGCAGTTGCGCTGTCCTTTTCCCATGGGCCCACCAACAGTTACAACCCGCCAACTCCCCACTTTTACCTTGCCTCTCGTCCTTTTTCCTGCTAACAATACAGACAAAGTGTCAATGCTCCACCTGATCAAGTGTTTTAAGTGCATTTTTATACAAAAGAACTTATATTTTGCAATGAAGACCAGCTTTTTTTGCTTACTTTCCTTGCTGTAAAACCAGTTTCTATACAACTTATCTTTGCTCGTCATATCTTTGCTAAATCTTATTTTTATTATGTTGTTTTGCTTTTCCCTTCACCTTTTTTATCCTCATTTTCTCTTTTATAATCCATTTCAATTTTCTTATGTTTTAAGATTCCCCGTTGTTGTACTAGAAAAAAGAGTGGATGGAGCAAGTCCTTGCATGGTTGATTCTAGTTGATGCATTCAGTAAGCTTGAAATTTATCTTGGTGAATAATTGTTAAGAGTAGTTGTTAGAATAGTTCAGTATATATAATAGAATAGTCCCACATCTTGTGGGCTTAGCCCACTAAGTCTTTTAGTCTCTTTAAATAAAGAGCTCTTGTACATTGTAACACACAATTATTCAATGTACCATTATTGTATTATTTAATCTCTAGTTGGTACCAGGAAACAACCTCTTTGCAATTATGTAAGGGTAAGGCTGCGTACAAAGATTTCCTCCACCCCATATTCGCTAGTCGGGTTTAACGGGAGTGGTTTTAAGTTGGTACCAGAGCTGGTTGTTCTGGGGATCCTCACTTCCGCTAAAACCTTAAGCCCACTGCTTAGGTATTCTCTTCTACTTTGCTGTGCGTCCTTCTAGCAAATCTTCCTCTACACCGTGCGTCCCTCCGGCTTGTCTTTGCAATTGTTAGAGTTACTGTTCACACCGAAGTACTGTTCATCGTCCGTATAGTCACTGTCCACGTCCGTACAGTTACTGTTCACGTCCGCACAGTTACTGTCCACGTCCGTACAATTACTGTTTACGTTGCCTGAAACACTGATCAAGTTTCCCGAAACACTGTACATCGCCGGAAACATTGTTCCGACATCCTTTTTTGGTTATTCCAGGACAGAACTATTCGGTTTTTCCTTTTCTTTCCAGATCTATTCTTGATTCTTAGTGGGTCACTTGTTTGGCGCGTGTTCTTTTTTGTTCAGCTATTCGGTTGATCCAATTTGCTTTATTCTGCAAGTTTTTATTGCATTCGTGTTGGCAGAATCATCTCCTGCTCCTGATTTATCTTCTGATGTTTATTCCACTGCTTATGTTTCCCGTATTGACTCTCACAGGAACAATAGATGTAGTCAAAGGTCTCGTTGTAGTTATTGTCAGCAACTTGGTCATTATGAGAAGCGTTGTTACACAAAGTATTCTCACCTGCGACCTTCTTATGCTGCAAATATAGTTCAGTTAGATACTCTTTCATCTGGTTTAGTCTCTCTCTTCTGCAGACTATGCAACACTCCAGACTCTTCTCAGGAGGCTTCTCCTCAGTCTTAGCCTTCTACTCCAGATATTAGTAATCTCGTTGCTTGTGTTTCTCATTCTACATCACTTGGCCCTTGGATATTTGACTCAGGTGCTACCGATCATCTCTGTGGTAATGAGGAACTATTTACGTCTCTTACTTATTCTGATCACTCACCTTCTTTTACCCTTGCTGTTGGAACCAAAGCCCCAGTTCGTGGGATTGGACAAGCTCGTCTGATCTTTACCTTGACCTTGACATCTGTCTATTACATCCCTTATAACTTAATTTTTGTTAGTAAATTGGCCCACTCCCTCACTTGCACCATTACTTTCTCTAACCATTTTGTTTCTGTGCAGGATCCGGGTACGGGGAAGACGATTGGAAAGGGTCGTGAGTCACGGGGGAAGGGAAGCTTCTGCTTCAGTCTTTAGATTGTGTGTCGTGTCAAGAAGGGAAGCATACACGCTCCTCCTTTACCAGTCGAGTCAATAAACGAGCAGATGCTTCTTTCTTTCTTGTTCATTCAGATATTTGGGGTCCAAGTCGTACTTTGTATGTTTTAGGTTTTCGATATTTCGTTACCTTTATTGATGATTATTCCCGCCGTACTTGGTTATATTTAAAGAAAAATCGTCCTGAGTTATTTTCCATTTATAAAAAGTTTTCTGCTGAGATTCATACTCAATTTGGTGTTTCTATTCGTATTCTACGTAGTGATAATGCTAAGGAATATGTTTCTTTTGACTTTTCTAATTTCTTTGCTACACAAGGTACTTTACACCCCACAACAAAATGGGATGGCCGAACGTAAAAATAGACATCTCATTGAAATTGCCTATTCCCTTCTTATTTACATGAAGGTTCCTCTTCACTTCTGGGCAGATGCCGTACTAGCCTCTTGTTTTCTCATCAATCGCATGCCTTCGTCTGTGCTTAACAATGACATTCTCTATAACCTATATGCTCCTCTTTATCCACTATCTTCACATGTCTTTGGTTGTATCTGTTTTGTTCATGATCTCACACCTGGTAAGGACAAGTTACATCCAAAGCCTTTAAGTATATTTTTCTTGGTTATGCTCGTCTTCAAAAGGGTTATCGTTGTTATTCTCCTGAACTTAAACTTTTTGGTTGAATTGGTTCTTTACATGGTATCAATTAAGCGTTATATTGTTTCCGCTAATGTTATTTTTCTTGATCAACAACCCTTTTATTCTCACCCATCTCAGTTGTCACAGGTTGATCAGGTTCTTTTGTTCCCTTTCTTGACTTGTATTTACCAGTTACAGGTGACTCTCTTCCAGAGAAAAGTGCCTGCATCCCTGAGGATCGTCATTTTCTCACCTATCAGTGTCGAGAGAAAGTGCCTCCTACAGACTTGTATTTACCAGTTGCAGGTGACTCTCTTCCAGAGAAAAGTGCTTCCATCCCTGAGGATCCTCATTTTCTCACCAATGGCATTAGGGATCTTGTTCCTGCTCCTCCGGAGAAGTCTATTGTTGGTTGCCGGTGGGTCTTTAATCTCAAGGTCAGGCCTGATGGCCATGTTGATCTTCTTAAGGCGCGCTTAGTTGCCCAGGGTTTTACTCAGATTTTTGATCTTGACTATAGTGACATTTTCTCTCGTGTTGTTAAGATGGCGTCTGTTCGCATGTTTCTTGCCCTCGCTGATGTTTACATGGAACAACCAACTGGGTTTGTTGCTCAGGGGGAGTCTGGGAAGGTATGCAGACTTCGTAAGTCCTTATATGGCTTCAAGCAATCTCCTCAGGCATGGTTCAGCCGTTTCAGTTCTGCCGTTCAGGCTTTTGGCTTAACCGCAGTAAGGTCGATCAGTCTGTGTTTTATAGGTTCACATCTCCTGACAGGTGCATATATCTGTTAGTTTATGTTGATAACATTATTCTCACTTGAAGTGATCTAGCTGGGATTCACCAGTTAAAACAGTATTTGTTCAGTTAAGTTCAAACGAAGGATCTTGGTAAGCTCCGTTACTTCTTAGGGATTGAAGTAGCACAGTCTAGACAGGACAGTTCTTTCTGTCAAAGGAAATATGCCTTGGATATCCTAGAGGATACTGGTATGTTGGCCTGTAAGCCCGTTGATTCACCCATGGATCCTACTATCAAATTACTACCTGGATAGAGAGCCATTATCTGATCCTGGATGTTATCGAAGGTTGATTGGGAAGCTTAATTATCTCTGTGACTGGGCTGGACTTTTCTTTTGTTGTTAGTGTGGCTAGTTAGTTCCTTGACTCTCCTTGTGATTCCCATTGGGATGCTGCTGTAAGGATCCTTCGGTACATCAAAGGAGCACCCGGGAATGGATTATTATATTTAGATCTAGGAAATACAGAAATATATGGTTATTCAGATGTCGATTGGGTGGGATCACCCTCGGATAGGCGTTGTACTTCAGTCTATTGAGTCTTATTTGGAGGAAATCTGATTTCTTGAAAAAGTAAGAAACAAATTATTGTTACCCGCTCTAGTGCAGAGGCTGAGTATCGTGCAATAGGAGTTGCTACCTGCGAGCTAATCTGGTTAAAGCAGTTAATTCGGGAGCTCCATCTCTGTGAACAGAAACAGCCTATGTCACATAATCAAACTGCGCTACATATATCATCTAATCCTGTATTTCATGAGAACTGAATATATAAAGATCGATTATCGTTTCATTCGAGAAAAGATTCAGTGAGGAGAAATCAAAACGTCATTTGTCAACTCTAATGATCAACTTGCGGATGTCTTCACTAAAGCTCGTAGAGGTCCTCGGGTTGAATACATTTGTGGCAAGTTGGGTGCTTACAATATATATGCTCCAGTTTGAGGGGGAGTGTTAGAGTGGTTGTTAGAATAGTTCAGTGTATATAGTCCCACGTCTTGTGGGCTTAGCCCATTAGGTCTTTTAGTTTCTTTAAATAGACAACTTTTGTACATTGTAATAAACAATTTATTCAATATACAATATTCTATTCTTCAATCTTAAGTGTTACTTCTTAGGGATTGAAGTGGCACAGTCTAGACAGGGAATTTCTTTCTGTCAAAGGAAATATGCCTTGGATATCCTAGAGGAGACTGGTATATTGCGGTGTAAGCCGGTTGATACACCCATGGATCCTACTATCAAATTACTACCCGGACAAAGAGAGCCATTATCTGATCCTAGACGTTATCGGAGGTTGATTGGGAAGCTTAATTATCTCACTGTGACTAGGCCAGACATTTCTTTTGCTGTTAGTGTGGTTAGTCAGTTCCTTGACTCTCCTTCTGGTTCTCTTTGGGATGCTGCTGTGGGGATCCTCTGGTACATCAAAGGAGGACCAGGGAAATGCTTATTATGTTCAGATTAGGGAAATACATAAATTCGTGGTTCAGATGCCGATTAGGCAGGATCACTCTCGGATAGACGCTCTACTTCAGGCTATTGTGTCTTCTTTGAAGAAAACCCAATTTCTTGGAAAAGTAAGAAACAAACTGTTGTTGGCCGCTCTAGTGCAGAGGCCGAGTATCATGCAATGGGAGTTGCTACCTGCAGGCTAATCTGGTTAAAGCAATTGATTTGCGAGCTCCATCTTTTTAAACAGAAACAACCCATGACACTAATTTGTGACAATCAAGCTGCGCTACATATATCATCTAATCCTGTTTTTTATAAGAGAATCAAACATATAGAGATTGTTTGTCATTTCATTCGAGAAAATATTTAGTCAGGAGAAATCAAAACGGCATTTGTCAATTCTAATGATTAACTCACGGATGTCTTCACTAAAGCTCTTAGAGGTCCTCGGGTTGAATACATTTGCGGCAAGCTGGGTGCTTACAATATATACGCACCAACTTGAGGTTAGAGTAGTTGTTAGAATAGTTCAGTGTATATAATGGAATAGTCCCACATCTTGTTGGCTTAGCCCATTAGGTCTTTTAGTCTCTTTAAATAAAGAGCTCTTGTACTTTGCAATACACAATTATTCAATATACCATTATTCTATTATTCAATCTAAAGTATAATAAAATAAAATGCATTAAAAAGTTCCAAAGCTGGGGAACATAAACAAGATACTCAGAAATCATTCAGTCAGGGCGTGTGACCTAGAAGCTGACTTTGCTCCTTAAATTCCTCAATTAAGGTCAAGTATGCTGCTCTGAATTCATAACTTGATTACATATAAACCTTGAAGCCGTATATGGCCATGGAGTGGGAACTTCTGGGAATTCCAAACTTCTAAGCAGGATTGTAAAGTGCTACTTGCTTGTTTGCTGCACTGGATTTAATATCTTGTGCTATGTCATCTTCTATTTTTTTTTGGTAGTTTATGCCATCTTCTATTTATGTTCTGCGAAGCATGATGCAATCCTCCTTTTAATTTCTTTAGTTATTCCAAGTAGGGATAAGTTTCTTCTTGATAAACCACTGTGGAAAGATAAAACCGTTTCTATAGTCTAGTTTTTTATTTGGGCAGTGGCATTCCTTTGGTGTATTCTAATGAACTTTTTCCTTCCCATAAATAAATAAATTGCTATTCTACAGACAAGGCATCTCTTCATACCAGATGCAGAACCTGGTCAGTTCCTTCAGTATTGTTTTCCATGGCTTCTTCCTGCTCTGCTTCTTCATGAGAACAGTTCCGATCTCGATTGGGTTGCCAAGGTGTGAGCAGTTTCTATAGTTGATTGTTTATTTTATATTAATAAGGAAGCTTCTGGTTTTCATCCTGTACCAACTAAAAAACAAGATTTTTAATTGCCATTGGAAAATGATAAAAAATTTGTTCTTTTACATTGCATATAAGGATGCACGAATTTCCATGAGTTGCATAAGTTTGTTTACTGTGGATCTTATTCATAAATGCAGTGTATATATATTGTTTTCTCTTATATATATTGATTTCTCTAATAAAGTTCCTTTTTGCAGGTTACTTGTCAACCTTTGACAGTTATTGTAAAAAACCACTTCGCTTCGATATTTTCAGTTTCTATGGGTTTGCATTGCAGTAAGATACCAGGATCGGAGAGGGGTACACTTGTACTTCAGAGTTCCGTTTTGCAGTTTGCTCAGATATCTGAGGATGAACGGGACAAACTCATAAAGAAACATATGGTCTGCTACTCTGCACCTTAGAGTCTGTTCTGCAGAAAATAATCTTTCTGGAAAACATTCTTTTATGTTTGTTGTTACATTTTATTAGAGAGATATAAAACCATTAATGTAGCTTCACCCACCAGCTTAAGCTTTTGGGTTGAAATGGTTCTTTATATGGTATGAAAGTCTAAGTGTCACGGCTTTATGCTTCTCTAACACATTTAAAGGAAAATATTTTCTTCATTATTTATTACAACTCATTAAATGAGGGGAAAGTGACTTTCCTTCCTTAACAAATCAAACAATATAATTTTTTTATAAAATGCATCATTTTCTCTTAATAATATTTAGATCAAAATATTATTTTGGGAAAATATTTATATTTTATAATTGAAAAGTTAGGCAGGAATAGTTTATACTAAGACCATTTTCTGATAAGTTATTTTCTGTGAAAACAAGTCGACCCTTCAATTTGTTGGTTTTCAGTTCAACAACATATATGTTTTGCATTTATATATTACATCTGCTGGGGTCTTTTTTAACGTGCAAGATGTCGGTGTTGATGTCTATTTAACATTGTAATTCACAAAATAGCGTGTGGGCATTTCTAAATCACAATTTGATTAAATTAATGTTAAGACTTGCAACTTAGATTCCATCCGTTGATATTTATATGTAATAGCAATATTTTCCTTTCATTATTAACTGAATTTGTTTATGGAGACATTTTTCTGTAAGTTTAACATTTTATTCTGCTTCTTTTTGTACTTTTAGGTCTCTATCGTGAGCTGTATTTTATCTCTGTCCTCTTGTTCATCTTATCCTGTAGTCCCTTTCTTTTCCAAGGATGCAGTGGCACTTGCAATTCAAACAATTGTTGATGGATTTCTGGACTTGTGAGTTATCTTCTCTGCCTCAGTGTGATTCTTCTGTTTCAATTGGTGTTTATATCTTGTTATATAATATGTAATTAATTGAGATGTAGGGATGATAATCGTACAAGTGCTGCTGTTATTGATAGGATCAACATATTTCGCCCTGATAGAACTTTCATGGTAAATTTTTATGACATAAAACTCGACGACACCACTTAGATATCCTTTCCTTACCTATCATTTTCTTTTTATTCTTGGCTTGGTGTTTCTAATGAATTCAATTATTTTGTAATTGGCAGTTTTTGGTAGAAATTCATTATAAAATTGCGGCAGCATCTCATTACAGGCATAAGTGCCACCGATTGGCCGGAATTGAGGTGCTTATTAGTATTCTTGGAAAGAGAGCTGCTGTTTTAAGCACTTCCAAGTAAGTTTTATGGGTCGTGATTTTATGTATTACATACTTAAACGACATTGTACACAAGAAATCTAGGGTGCATGCTTGATTAGATAATTATCATTTGTTTATTCCTGCATTTGTTAAAGTGAATGAAGTGCCAACTTATATATGTGCTAAACTTTCTTGGATACATTTGCCTCTAATATTAGTTTCCTAACGTTATTTTTATCTCATCAGCATGGTGGGAAAGTGGAAATTTTGATTTAGATATGATGCTCAAACCTTTATTTTGGGTTTTGTCTTTCTTCCTTTTTTTCTCTTATTTATTTATTTATGTGTTCTTCTTTTTCCTTTTTTTCTCAAACTTTTCGTGTTTTTCTTTTGGGTTCACCTACCACCAACCCCAACTAGTTTGGGATAAAGGTGTTATTGTTGTTGATGTTGATAATGCTCAAACCTTTGTCATGTTTTGAAACGGGGAAAAACTTTACCTTATTGGAATCCAAAACCTTGTCGTTGTCCAAATAGTACTTTTCAAGTGGTCAAGGACTTAAACTGAACTGGTTGCCAGACTTGTCCTTGTCATGGCAAATCTTACTAGTTTGAAATTATGTCTTGCAAGTGACATGTCTTGTAAGTAACAAGAAATTTTGATTTATAATTGATGAACTTGTGACAATCAACCCATGCTCATACTCTGTACATGGTTTGAATATTTGAAGGAGTGTTATGTCATATTGGTCTTTGATGTGTGTAGAATATGTAGAATATTCTAGTTAGTATTTATTGATGTAGTTGGTAATTGTATATTTAGTTGGTAGTTGTATATTTATTGATGTAGTTGGTGGTTGTATATTTATTAAAGTAATTGAGGTAGTTGGATGTACTCATTGGGTCTCTCAATGAATCAAGAAAGTATTATTCAGACAAAACACTTCTTCCACTTCTTCTTTTCTTCATGGTATCAAGAGCTAGTTATATTCTAGTCTCTTCCTCGTTCTGATTTATTTTTAAGTCATTTTTCTATTCCTTTTTTTCGTTTTAGCCACTGCCCAAGCCAGAATCCTTACCAAGACACCTCCAACCACGAAACCAAGGCCACCATTAGGTTCAGAACAAAATTCCGAGCCAGACCACAGAAGACCCGTAGCAGTACTGTTCATTACTGTAGTAATTACTGTTTCACTGTGGCCGAGATTGCTCTCATTCATTGAGTTTGGCGAGCAACCCTCTTCCTGTTTTGAGGGTCAAAATCGTATATGGAGGAACTTTTTTTCTGGGTACCTGTTAGAAAGCCATGGATGCTGAAAATTCTGAAATTTCGTCTGGAACCTCACCCCTTCCCAACTCTTCGTCTTCTGTAGACAACCCAACAATGCAGATCACCAGTCACCGTTTAAACGGTAGGAACTATGTGCAATGGTGTCAATCTGTTAAGTTGTTTATCCAGGCTAAAGGGAAGATGGGGTATCTTGATGGAAAAAAGGTAAAACCAGCAGAACGTGAACCTGGTTATGATCCTTGGGTGACTGAAAATGCTTTAGTCATGACATGGCTGACTAATTCTATGGAACCAGATATCAGTCAAACTTATTTATTTCTTGATACAGCTCAAGAAATTTGGGAAGCTGTTAAAGAATATTACTCTGACCTGGGCAATGCATCTCAGGCTTTTGATCTCAACACCAAGGTGAAATAATTACGCCAAGGAGGGATGACTGTTACTGAATACTTCCTTGCTCTAAAAACACTGTGGCAAGAGTTGGATCTTTATGATAAAGCAGACCTTCAAGGTTTAGAAGTTAATGCAAGGTTCAAAAATTATATAGAGAAAAGGCTGTCTCTATGATTTTCTTGCTGGCCTTAATTCTGATCTGGATGATGTTTGTGGAAGAATTTTGGGGCAAAACCCATTACCTTCCCTTGCTACTGCTTTTTCTGAAGTACGAAGGGAGAAGCTTCGCCGAAGAGTAATGTTGGGTGATAAGGACTCTCAGTCCTCTGATGGGTCTGCCCTTATAGCAAAGAATACTGTTCGTCCTTCTGGGGACTCAAAACGTTCTGACCGTTGGTGTTCTCATTGCAATAAGGGTGGTCACACCCGTGAAAAGTGTTGGGAAATTCATGGAAAACCACCAAACTGGAAACCAAAAGGACAGAACAAGAATCCTGCTAATCAAGTATCTTCCGAAGATAAAGGAGAGGTGTCTCATGTCCCTTCAAACCTTGATGGTGTTTTCCTCTCTAAGGCTCAGTATGAGCAATTTCAGAAACTGATATCTCAACCTGCCGAGGCAACTAGTGATGTTGCTCAAAAAGGTTTGGCATTCTATGTTGAACGTAGTAATCGTTGGATCCTTGATTCAGGGGCCTCCGATCACATGACAGGTAATACAACCTTATTTTTCTCCTATACCCCTTACTATCACCCGTCACGAATAAGAACAGCTGATGGGAAAAATAGACATCTAATTGAAGTTGCTCGAGCTCTCTTATTCACAATGCATGTCCCTACATATCTGTGGGGGGAAGCCATCTTGACAGCCTCTTATCTTATTAATCGGATGCCTTCTCGGGTTCTACATTTTCATTCTGCTTTATCCTGCCTTACTAAATCTTTTCCTTCTTTCAATGATCTTTCTTCTCTTCTTCCCAAGATATTTGGCTGTCTGATTTTTGTGCATATTCCTCCACATCAAAGGTCCAAACTTGACCCTAAATCCATCATATGTGTCTTCATAGGATATTCCCCTAATCAAAAATGTTATAAGTGTTACTCACCTTCTCTCCGTAAGGTTTTTGTTTCCATGGATGTTACCTTTTATGAGAAACAATCTTTTTTTTCCCCGACTTCTCTTTTGGTATTGGTACGAATGAAGATAAGCCTAGTAAACCAAATGATGCCTCTGTCTTACCTTGGCCTTTGGAAACAGGGGGAGTTATTGGGAAGGAAACAGGGGGAGCAACTATACCTGAATTTAATGATCCTCCTGGTAAATGGGGAAAATTTTACAGCAGGCGCAAAACACATCATCTCTAACTGCCAGGATCCTGACTCGAGTCCTTGTTCCAGCAACCCACTTGAATGTACTAGTACAACCAACATTGATATGCTTATTGCTCTTCGGAAAGGTACTAGATCTTGCACTGCTCATCCTATTTCCCATTATATCTCATATGAAAAGTTGTCTCCAGGTTTTTGTGCTTTCAACACTATGTTAGATAGTTCCAGGATACCCAAAAATATCCAAGAAGCACTTGATGACCCAAAATGGAGGAATGCAGTATTAGAAGAAATGGATGCACTTACAAAAAATGGAACATGGGAGTTTGTGACATTACCTAAAGGAAAGAAAACTGTTGGTTGCAAGTGAATGTTCACAATAAAATTCAATGCAGACAATAGCATCAATAGGTATAAGGCCAGATTAGTTGCTAAGGGATTTACTCAGAATCATGGGATAGATTATCAGGAGACATTTGCTCCTGTTCCCAAACTTAACACTATTTGCGTTTTGCTATCTCTTGTCGCCAACCTTGATTGGCCATTGCAACAGTTAGATGTTAAGAATGCCTTCTTGAATGGTGATCTACATGAGGAAGTTTACATGGATCCACCTCCTGGTTTTGAAAAAGGGGATGGTTTTGTGTGCAAGTTGCAGAAGTCTCTCTATGGACTTAAACAATTTCCCAGAGAATGGTGTGGGAAATTTAGTCAAGCTGTTAAGGGAAGAGGGTTCACCCAAGCTCAGACTGATCACGCTTTATTTTTTAAACACTCCGACAAAGGAAGAATTGCTATTCTGATCGTTTATGTTGATGACATAATTGTCACTGGTAATGATAGCAAGGAGATAACCTTTTTAAAAAAATGTTTAGCTGACCAGTTTGAACTAAAAGATCTTGGATCTCTCAAATATTTCCTTGGCATGGAAATTGCTCGGAGTAAGGAAGAAATTTCTTTAACTCAGAAAAAATACATTCTAGACCTGTTGCAAGAAACAGGTATGCTTGGGTGCAAGCCGACAGAGACTCCAATTGAAGCTAATATCAAGATGGGAGTTGAGGACGGGGAAGATGTTGATAGGGAGCAGTACCAGAGACTAGTGGGGAAATTAATCTATTTGTCTCACACTCGTCCTGATATTGCTTTTGCTGTGAGCATGGTTAGCCAATTAATGTATTCTTATAAGGAAAAACACCTTAGTGTTGTTTATAGAATTCTCAAATACCACAAAAATATCCCTGGTGGAGGAATTTTCTTTAAAAAGGGGCAGAAAAGGATGATTTAAATCTATACAGATGCAGACTGGGCTGGCTCTGCAATGGACCGAAGATCTACTTCAGGATATTGTACTTATGTCTGGGGAAACCTTGTGACCTGGAGAAGTAAGAAACAAACTGTTGTTGCAAGAAGCAGTGCAGAAGCGGAATTTCGGGCTCTAGCACATGGTATTTGTGAAGGAATTTGGTTACGAAGGGTTCTGGAGGAGTTGAAGATCTCTTATTCCCTACCTATCAGATTATATTGTGATAATAAGGCTGCTGCCAGCATTGCTCAAAATCCTGTTCATCATGACTGAACAAAACATGTGGAAGTTGATCGTCACTTTATCAAAGAGAAATTAGAAGACGGTAGTGTATGCTTGACATATATACCTACCAAGGAACAGATGGCAGATATCCTCACCAAAGGATTACTTAAGCCGACCTTTGAGAATTTGATCAGCAAATTGGGAATGATCAGTATATATCTCCCAACTTGAGGGGGAGTGTAGAATATGTAGAATATTCTAGATAGTATTTATTGATGTAGTTGGTAGTTGTATATTTAGTTGGTAGTTGTATATTTATTGATGTAGTTGGTGGTTGTATATTTATTAAAGTAGTTGAGGTAGTTGGAGGTACTCAATATAAAAAGGACCCATTGGGAAATAGGACTTGGATTCATGAAATGTGACATCCATTGAGACAGAATTTCCGACTAGCAGGATGATAACACTTGTAGCCTTTTTTATCAGGGGCAT